ACAGCACATTCTCTATTGCCACCTAGTGTCTGAAGTCGCAGAGTTGTTCCTATTATCCAATACCGTCCACCCTGTTTTCAGGGGCAGCTGGACCGCAGAAATCAAGTGAACTGCACATTGACTGGGCTGGACGGCTCTTCTGAACAATGTTCTGCACTGAACATTGATTGCTGGGTGGCTCTTCGCTGGACTCAATCAGTTGCCCTTTCAGTTCACAGCCTTTAGATGGAGAGATGGGATGGGAAGGCCCAGCTGCTACGCAGGTCATCTGCACCAAGGAACATCACTAGCTATTGCTTCCAGTGGCCTTTGACCTACCTCAGTGCTACTCCTGGATGCTGCTTTAATTCATCTGAGGCTGCAATCCCGTAGACTAGAGGTGCTGAACCTCCTCCATCCTGAGGGCCAAATTCCATTTTGGAGATGATCTTGGGGGCCACATTCCTGTGGGGCTAAAATGCCAGTACATTGTAGCTCAGTAACATAGCCTTAGCAAAGGCATTTCAGTCTCTTAGAATGGGGGTAACTGCACAAAACCAAGGTAAGGTGAAAAGGTGATCAGGGTAGATAGCGTAAGATTGTTTTGAGAATCTTCTATTTTCCTCTCCCCTCTCCTGCCTCCTATGTATCACAAGACAACCTGGTGGGGCCTTTTTGTCCTCTGTACAGGGAAAATGGGCCTATGGACACTGAATAAATAAGTTACAATAAATTAGTCCTTGCCCAGGGCTCAGGTTGCACAGGGCCCTTCAAAGACAAAGTAACAAAACAAAAATATGCAGCAATTATTTATAGCTGGTGATAAGCAATCTCCCTTCTCTCCTTCTTGTACTGTATTCACCTGAATGTGTGGGAGAGATCAAGGACTGAATCAGCTAGAAGCATCAGCAGTTTGCAAACATAGGGGGGAAAAGTAGAATTTCTCGCTTTACTGCATTGGTATGTTCAACATTCAGCCTTTTCTCAGTACAGGATTGCTACTGTAGTCTGCTGAAGAGAGAGATGTCTTTCCAAAATGGAACATTCCAACAATGCTTACACTGCAACCTGTCCAGAGAACCTTTGGTATTAGGTGACCTAAATAAGTATGTATTATTCTATTTTTAGAGAGAGGATTTTGAAGGAACACAGAATAATCAGAATACTGAAGGTGAATTTATTAAGACATGTATCTGCTGCTCTGCAAAGTTCATTAGTCTCAGAGCAGCAATCGCACTCACAAAAAAAAAAAAAAAGGAAAGACAATGCCATTTCAATCAAGTATGAAATGCAGCAGGACAATCAGAGCAGTGGCAAAAATGACATATGCACATGGTAGAACAGAAATGTCTCTGGTCTCCATCCAGACCACTTGGGAGCACAAGAAGACTATGCTTCCCCCCCCCCCCCCCGCCCCATTTTCAGTTCCATTTGTTTGGCCACCAATGATGAGGTTTCCTCACTTTTCTGTGCCCCCCCCATTCTAAAATGCTGAAATGTGTCTCTTACAGCATTTAATGGCAGTTACAGCTTTAAAGTAAAATATGCTGCTGTTTTAGGCTCATACCCTTTTGCCCTTGTGCTGCAACAGGGCTCTGGAGAGCATTGTATCCAAACCCCAGGTCAAAAAAAGTTCAGCACACCTGTGCCAGCTAGCTGACACGTCAGATAGTTTGGCCAAGTGAAAAGGCCTTTGCCTGGAGCTGAACAGATCAAATTTGGTGCTGGTGCCAAAGGGTTTTTCAAATATGGGATTTGAAAAACCACTCGTTTAAAAGAGCAAGATGACAGAAAACGGACTGTGATTACGAATGCCATGACTGGGCATGTCCATGCTCATATAAGCAAGAGGAAATGAAGAGTTAGAAAAATCATGCTAACAAACATACTGAACAGCTTGAGAACAGCTGGTTTCATAAGCACACATTCATTGTAATCCAGGCCGAATGCACGGACCAAGGTAGGCCTTCAGATTGCATGGGCCTAGCTGGTTGGGGCGTTAATGGTTAAGACCAGCACTTTGAACTGTCCATAGAAGCTTTCTGGTAGCCAGTCCAGAACGAAAGTTATTTTACTGCCCTGTTGGCGTCTGGGTTGCCATTTTCTACCAGTTGCGGCTTTGGAACTGTCACCTAGTAGGGTGATCAAAGCAGTTTGTCCTGAAACCAACCAGAACCTGGACTAGACCTGATCTAAGTTATCAGTTTCCTCCAAAAGTACCTGGAGTGGAGAGGTAAGACTAAGACTTTACTGAGAAATGGAAGGTACGGCACTGCACCGTTTTCCAAGTTCAAAGAATCTAAAGTAGGCGTGCACAGCTCTTTTGGCTCTCAGGGACTCAGACCAAAGAAGAGAAGCTGTGTCATACAAACACATGTGCAGACACACATGCAAATATGATTGCTGGAATGGGAGAGGCCTTAACCTCACCCCCATCACAACAGTTCTGGTAAGATCATTAGGATGGTGTTGGGCAATTGCTTTAGTAACCGAGCTAGAGACTCTCCTTTCCTCCCAGTGACGCCAGTGCTTGCTTCAGTGCTATTAACTCTGGCTGTTGCAGGAACACTGGGAGGTGGTGTTCTTTTCCTGCTCCTACTGATCACCGCTTTGGTGCTGTCAACCAGTTTTCCTACTGTGGTATCATGGGGCCACACAGCACTCACTCAGAGGCTGCATGTGGCCAGCAGATGGGGGTTGTGCACCCCGGTCTGAAGTTGGTTTCTTTGGTAAGGGTTAGGGTTGCGCTACAGCTGAGATGAGAAAAAGGATGGCAACTCTATTTGTTGCAAAAATAGGGTTGTCGCCTTTTTAATGGCTGTTCCTGTGTCGAGGTGCTGCTCAACATGTAAACAACCCACATGTTCACGAGCAATAAAACTAAAGTCCTTCATTGCTACTTGTCTACAAGATTTACAACTCTATAGAGAAGCTCTTCTGTTGAGGTCTTTGGAATGCAGATGTTAATCCTCTAGTGGTGTCTCTCCCCAAGCCCATGTGGGACTAGCCCTCCTGGTCATGCCTTTCTTCCCTCTGGTGTAACAAGGCCTGCCTCTGCTCGTACCTCCTCAGAATGCTATGACTGATTGCTAGGGAAAAGTCTATCACGCCCCCTGCGTCTCCTGTGTCATGTTCAGGAAGTTCAGCGTCAGTGAGAGGAGGGACAGCCTGCTCTGACTCCTTCTGAGTAGAACTCGTAATGTCTTTTCCCTCGGGGCTCTCTTGCTTTGATGTGGGCTTCGGTGTTTGCTCAATGGGCAGGGAGTCAGGGGAAGGTGCAGCTATCTGCTCAGCCACCCCTAAGTTAGGTTGCGGGGTTGGCTTTTGGATACAGGGTCCCAAGCACAAGACCTCCTTGTGAGGTGCTGTCTCTGTTGGGGCTTCAGGCATGACACTGTGCCTCAGCAGTAGTCTGACATGAAGAATTTGAACATACACATCTTTTCCAGCCATGCAAAGCATCACATGGTAAATTTCTGTGAGTCAGCCATTTTCTCACTTTGAATTAAAGAGCAATATTCAAGACATAGCATGGCTGCGGTACAGCCAAAGTAAAAGAAATACTACAGTTAGGCAGCAATAGGTCTATGAAATAAAACACATTTTAAAAGAAGCTGCAACAATATATGAACACACTAGAGGGCATGATTGCCCATTCTTAAACCTGAGAAGTTTGGGTAAGTAATGGGAAATGGCTCACATTTGTCAAAGAAACTCTGCCAAGTTCGGTAAGCAGAGAAACTAGGAATCTCCCACTGATTGATTGATTTAAACTAGGAATCTCCCATTGATTGATATCCTGCCTTTTTCCTACAAAGGGCTCAAGGCAGCTTACATCTCCTCCTCCATCTTATCCCCGCAACAACAAGCCTGTGAGGTAGGTTGGGCTGAGAGTCTGTGACTGGCCCAAAGCCACCCAGTTGGCTCCATGGCTGAACTGGGACTAGAACCCAGATCATCTAAGTACCAGTCCCATGCTCTTAACCACTACACCACACTGGCTCTCCCATCTATCCCCCATTTATGTGAATGGAACTCACTAGGCTTACAGTAAACTCAAACAGCAGCTATAGGATTCAGTAGAAATCATTTAAATGTTCACATGCGTCTTCACTTTTAGGGTTAATGTCACTGGTGCATACAGTGTGGTTTATGCATACTGTTAGCTTCACCCAAAAATCATTAGTACAGAATACTGGGGTTCAGGCCAATTAAAACAATCAGCCCTACAACTGCTGTTGGACAGAACCACTTGGAACAAATATGATACCAGTCAAATTTAAAATCAAAGTTGTGTCTAGCTTTTTTTTCAGGTGCAATAAAGCACATATACTTTATTGGTGCATCCAACATGCTCTTTATCTCAGGGAAGGGTCTTTGATCTAGCAGAGGCTCCTAAGAGCATTTATATATAAAACAATTTAAGTTTAATCTTATGTCAGGCAGCCTGTCAGAAAAGTGAACCAGACATTATCTAGTCTTTTAAAAAATAGTGACATCTAGCATTACATCTAAGTGCAAGACAAAATAGAATTAAAAATTCAACATGCCACACTTAAAGAAGCTTTTAATGTGGTTTCTTCTGAACAAGTTACAACCAAATATATTGATCTGGTAGACAAAACAGCTCACATTTTGCAATTTATAAGGAAGCCAAGAAGTGCTTGCAGATTTGACCCTTTAGTTTAAGTGATCCTGGCTCCATACTAGCATGAGAGCTCAGCCTATTAGGAATTCTGTGGCTCCCCCAACTGCTGGAGAAATTTGAAGGCAGAAGAGTAAAAGCTGCTGATTGCCTTTCTCCAACAGCAGTTTATTCCTTCTCTCCTTAGTACCTAACTATCACTAGCTAGAAGGGAGTGAAAGGAAATTAGACATTGCACAGGCAATGCTTTTTTACAGGATTGGTCTCATAGGATACAGTTAGTCTTAATGTAGATAAACTTTAATATAAGTGGCAAAACCACTTATATTACTAGCCTTTTTAATTATACAGGAAACCAATATAAGTGTCAATGTCCCTCCAACAGTGCAGTTCTAAAATTTACTTAGAAGTTAATTCCATTAAATTCAAAGGGATTAACTTTCACGTACATGGATGTACGACTGCACTCTAAAGGTGTTACTTTTCTTTGCTTAAAAGTACAGCCAATCTACCCACAAGAAATACTTGGTGGGTTTCAGGATTGAGGAATAGCTTGTTCTAACACCTGTTCCAGCAACCACCAGGCAGACAGGCATGGCTAGGGTACAAGTGGCCCATCTTCATAGATCAATATCTGAGTCACTCTCTTCAGCCTTCTGTGGTAGCCTTTTGATACCAATAATCATGTCAACACTAAGAAGTCTAGCTGCACAATGAAGAACAGAAACTACTAATTGGTACTTACAAGACACAGATTCTAATCTTTGATTCAGCCAAAGCTGCTGATCATTCTTGAGGGTACTGGTAACTTTGAAACAGAGCTGAGGAAATGCATTCCTTTTCTGTGTCCTACACAGGAGTTTTGGAACGTTTAGCAACACATCAGCAATCAGAGTACAAAGAATGGACATGTTTGGATATTGGCACTGCTTTGCATAGTAAGACAGGTAATAATGTAAGAGGATCTCAAAGATCCCACCTACTGGGACAACAGAACCTGCCCTTATGTAAGAGTTGGAATTTCTCTGAACATTGCTTTTATTATTTTCCTCATAATTAAACAAGGTTTCACAAATTGGGATGCTAGAACTGTTCTTATAGGCTGGTAGTTGCACAGGTACATTCCTGGAACTGGTGCTTTTCTCTACTGTTGTAGAAATAAGTTGATTATCTTCAAGCAATTCATTCTCAGACCCGTTCAACATTTCTGTTTGATAATTGCATTTCTGAGATTGAGTAAGTGAACTTTCCAAAGTAGAAGGGACAGGAAGCTTTTGAGTTTTAATCGGGAAAGGACTCAGTGGCTTGGTGCCGGCCTGAACATCATTACAATTGGTGTGCTCCTCCACACAACACTGCTGTACAACTGAACCACTATTCACTGCTTTTGAAAGACTTTGATTTCCAGTTTTTGATTTGCAGTGTTCAGTCAGGTGAATGGTTATAAACATTTGCTTTAGCATTTTGAATGCTCCATGAAAAGCACAAGCATGTTGTTCCACAACTGCAACTACTGGTCCACAGAAAATCACACTGTGGAGCTGAAGGGCACAAGTCTTTGCAAAGCCAATGTGCACAAATCTTCTGGTGCCAAGCTGTAATGGCTGGCAAAATACTGCTACAGCTGTTTCAGTGATTTCCCTGTAAATATTGCCCACAGATGGCCTAAAAGGTGATATTTTGGTGATCCTGCAAATAAGAGAGATTTCCTCTGGTGACAGACACTCTACAATTGATATGCCACTATTTTTTGCATAGTAATGAACAATTTCCTGTTGTTTTACACTCGACAATAGTACCTTTATGTTATTGTTCTGCATGTGCTGTATAAGAGCTTCTGTTCTTTTGGTATTCCAGATTTCAGATGCCTCATGCTGACGTTCAGACATTATGGCAACTTCTACACCTAAGTTGGAAACAGATGCATGGATAGGTTCTGTTATAATTAGAACTTTTATGTTACCATCTGCAGGACAATATACAGTAAAGTCTCTCTGAAGGATGAGTCCATCTAGGATCCTTGAGCTTGAAACAGGTAGGCCTGTCACAGTAGCATGCAACTCAGCAAAACATTCATCTAGCAAAGATAGTACTTCATTCCTATTTTTATCAGCTGTAACTTTGAGGTAGAAATCGTAAGTCAACTGGGAAAGAAATGTTTGTCTGTTATTTCCTACTTTTCCACAAAAATATGCTTCTAATACTGAGCACATAGCGCTCCTATTTATTTCTGCATCAAAAACAGAAAAAACTGATAGAAAATGCCTTTGAAGGTCCTGTATCATTATGGGGTCCAGAATGTCTGTCTGAATCATCATAAGTAACTGAGAAACTTGCTTGAGTCTGTAGCATTTTTCTTTATATTTCTCTCTTCCTCGGATATTCTCACAAAAGAAAGCACCATCTCCTCTACAAAGTTTTTCAAGTTCTTGGAGTAAATTGGAGAGTAGGATGATGAATGTTTTTGCACCATCTCCAGTGAAACTGCAGTGTGTGGAAATACATGCTATCATTGTTCTGTAAAAAACAAACAAACAAACCACAACTATTCATTTACAAAATACTGTAATTGAAATATTAAACGTCCATAAAAGTATAGCGGTAAAAATGACAACACCAAGATAGATAGATGATGACCAAGAAGATGATTAGGAGGGGGTGGGGGGTGGGCTGGTAGGCATGGACAGGTGTGAGAACAGATCAGAGGGAAGAGAAGGATGAAACAAGAGCTGAGCAGAAGGGTGAAAGAAAAAAAGAGAAAGAGGAGGAGGAGGAACTGACTCTCTCCTTATCTGTGCTTATTCCTTATCTCCCTATGAAACAAAGACTTGTGACATGCCTCCCAAACTCCTGATAAACAAATACAGAGGAAGATGTAATCAGAGCAGGCCAGGATATTCCATACTAACCACTCCCTACCAATTTGGCACAGTTTTGCACACATACACAAACAGATCAAGAGAAGTCATATTCCAAACATACACACACATTAACCTGGTGACTAACACATATTTGAAGCACTCCTGGGTGGGTTCTTCAAAATTTTAGGGAGGTAATAAATATATTGGCTCTCTTTGCCTTTTTCACTCATCTCACACAGTCCCTTCCTCCAGTCCTTTGCTCCCTTGTTTTTCATGGGGATGGGATGAATTCGTGGAGGTGAAAGCTACTAGTCCAGATGTCTATAAGCAACCTCCAGTATCAAAAGATGGATGCCTATGTGCACCAGTTGCTGGGGAATATGGGCAGAACAATGTCATATTCATGCCTCACTTGTAGTGTTCACATGAGTAGCTAGTTCATCACTGTGTAAACTGCATGCCAGACTACAGGGGTCTTTGGCCTGATCCAGCATGGCTCTTCCTATGTTCTGTACCTACATGCCTCTTAAGAGTCTGGGGAAATGCAGTTTCTGTTGGCTTCTGTCCATTTTCCTTCATGAAGCCAAAGACCAACCCCCTTCATTATGCCAGCCTCTCCTCACCACTAGAGGACCTATAGTTGGGCGAAGGCTATGGGCCCACACATCGGCAGGAGCCCAGTGAAAAAGCCCCCAGAGTTGCGCCTCTTTTTCACCATTTCTTCCTCCTTTTCAGTCATTTGTCTCTCACTCCCTGGTCCAGACAACAGGGGTGGTGAAGAGGAGGCCGGTGCCTAACTTATCACAAGCACTTTGCCTGCTAAGCAAGCAAGAGCAAGCAAGCAAGCGATTAACTTACTTACTTACTTATTTAGTAAGTAATCTTCTATGCCGCCCCATTCGCTGAAGCCTCGGGGCGGCTTACAGCAATAAATAAATATAATCATATAAAAACAATATAATTGGAAACGCCCTGGCCAAAGATGTAAAATCAATAAATAAGCTAACCATTAAAATGCCGTTTAAATAAAAAGGTCTTGGCCTGGCATCACATAAGAAAGACGATGAGGAGCAAGAGAAGTTGGTTACAATGGTGAGGCACCTTGAAAGTGGAAGACCACTGCATGGGTCTTGCCCAGGGGCCCTCAGAAACCTGGAGCGGGCATGGCCCGCTCGCACTGAGATAACGGAACCGCCTCTACAGGAGGACAAGGACAGTGCGGGGCGCCGCGATTACCGAGCTGTCGGCGAGGAGACGTTCAAGGCCTCCAGGACGCGCCGCCCGTCCCGCGACAGCACCACCTCCCCCGTCGGGCGGGTGAGCAGGACCTGGCCTCCTTCGGGCCCCAGGGAGCCCCGCACGACGCCCGCCAGCGCCGCGGCCTCCTGCGCCAGCCGCCCAAGGTCCAGACGCGCCGCGGTCGCCATAGCAACAGCGCCGTGCACAGGGCGCGAGGCGCCGATAGACTCCTGCCACAGGCAACCGGACACACCCCTTCTCGACCTCTGATAGGTGGGCTTTGCGGCGAATGAGCAGAAATGATTGGCGAAACGCTACGGTCCCGCCCCTTTATTATCTGTTCGCGAAGGTGCTCATTGGCCGCTGCCTTGATTCACCTCAGGCTGCCTTTTTGCTCCCTTTACCTCGTTTTTCAACGGGAGAGTTAAATAGATGGATCAGAGGATCGGCAGCCTGATGCGGAGCGCTGCCCCTCTTCCCCTAATCCCTTTGCGGCTGCGCAGGGTCACTCGGCGCCTGTGGGAAGGCGTTCTGGCTCCAGTGATATCCTGCTTTCCTTTGGCTGTGCGCCCTTCCCGCCGGGACTTTGGGGCACTTTCGCGCTCCCTCGGCTTCGCCCTCACGGTGTCAGGCTAAGGCGGCAGCCACACCTCTTCCCGGTCCGCATGCCTTCGCTGAAACCTCTTCCCGATGCCTGTGGAAGCCTTCCTTCTCTTTCTCGTCTTCTTCCATCGGGGTCGCAACGACTGAGGGCCCCGCCGCCGTCTTGCTCCCCCTTCAAACGTGGTTCCTCAGTTTTTCTGGACGCTCTGGCTGGGACTGAGGGGAAAGTCTTAAAACACTTAGCGGGCACCAGGTTGGGGAAGCCAGCCTTGAACGCTAGGCTCGGCTTCCCGTCTCGACGGCCACAGCGAGCACCTGCACGCCCCCCCCCCCCCCCCGCTCCCCTTTCGCTCGCTCGTTCGCTCGCTCGCAGAGAGCCTCTCAGAAACCCCGCATCTCTCGCGCCCTACGTCACATCGCACTAGCGTCCCGCGGGACAGAAAACCCGCTCTTCTCCTTCCCCATTGGCTGGAGCGCCATAGGACCATCTCGGCATAGCGCGGCAGATTGGCCAGAAGGGGCTGGGCCACGGGGCGCGCGGCGTGGGGCGGAGGCAGCGGAGAGCGAGTCATTAGCATAATCCCCGCCCGCTCCGCCGGTGGCTTTGGGCTCGCTCCCCCGCCCGCCCAGCGCTCTTGCTGCTTCTCCGCCGCCTGAACATCCTCCATCGCGGAGCCGCGCACCTTCTCCCGCAGAGCGCGCAAGCGGCGGTCGTGCCAAGCTCGGGAAGAAGGTGGCAGGGAAAGGAGCCGGGGACGTCTGTGAGGAGGGCGAGGATGAGGAACAGCCGCCGCCGCTGCTGAGCGCGCAGGTCTCCTGCTCGGAGGAATTGGGGCGGAGGGGGCCACCCGCGGGGCCCAAAGGGCCCTAAACTGGCTTTTTCCTTTCGGGAAATCCTGCCAGGGTGCTGCGCTCAAGGAAGGAGAGGGTCCGCCGCCGCCAGTAGCCCGCCGGTGCTTATGCGTGATGCATCTCTCTCTCTAGCCACGCGTTTATCTGCCCACCGAGCTTAAGAAAAGCGGTGCCGGATCAGACCAAACGGCCCCGTGTGCTCGTTTGTGACGGCGGATGCCTCTGCGAAGCCCTCCGCCCGCGGGACTGAAAGCGACTGCCGGCTCCCGTTTAGTAACCGTGATTTTGTGTTCGTTTGCAGGTAAACGGAGCCCGATGAAGAAAACACAAACCTGCAGCTTGATTTAAAAGCTACATTCCTGATGGATGTTGGCATTTCACGCTTTTAAGCACATGCAGATGCACCATCCTTCTTTCCCTTTGCTTGCACCTGCTGTTATTGAATGAAGAGTTAAGTGGCCCATCATGTGTATTGGCACAAACCAGGAGCCTGTCACACCGATGAGAAAAAATCGAATCTGTTCCAGAGATACACGCTGACCTGAATGTGCACATTTTTCCTGGTACCTAAGTTGAGAAACTGCTTTTCGTTATCCAGAAGAGTTTTGCATTGAACATTCTGCCATTTGGGAAGTGCTTCTGCATCACATTGTATTTTCTACTCTCCTCTTTGAAAATGAGGGTTTTTGTAATTTCTTAAAACAATTTGTACAGGTTTCATATGAGTGCAAGAAAGCAGCTGTTCAGAAGACTTTATCCAAAATCAAGCCTGTGAAAACACCTGCTTGAGTTAACCCACCCTCTCTGCACAATGTGGACTTTCCTGGGCATTGCCTCTTTCATTTATGTCTATAAGAAATGTGGAGATCTGCTGAGTTATGCCAACAAGGAGGTACTGATCTCCATGCTGGTTTTCTTCTCTCTCGGTTTGCTGCTTTCCTATCGCTACCGATCATGGGGACTCAAACAGCAGAAGCACAGGCAACCTCACTGTGGAGTGCTCTCCAATTTCCTTGCTGCTGTGCCATTCATTGGTTTTTTCTGGTCAAAATCCCATGCTGGTTCCCCAGAGGCAGTGCACCCTAACTCCAGAAAGGTATGTTGGATTTTCACATGACAAACCAGAGCTGCATTTCCTTTCTGATACCTTAAAACAAACACTTTGCCTTATTCAGAGATATTTGTCTTTAACATTGAGGTTTTTTGAGGGGGGAAATACCATAATTTTCTTTTTAAGCCTCCTTCTGTAGGTTATGTGTGTTTGAAGCATCCTTACGGATTTTGGTGGAAATCTGAGGACTTCTCTACAGGAGGCAGTTATTGCAAACTTGTGATGCTTTACTCATTGGTGTTTGTGGGGATTTTTCATAATGTTCTCCTTCTCCAGGGCCTCTCTTGTGTTTTCCAATCTTCTCGCCAAGTTTTTGAGAGTAAGGAGAGTCTGATATTTAATTTTAAACTGGAACAAAAATCCCATGAAAAGTCACAAATCTGCTAAATGTAGCCTTACCATAGTACTACCTTGTGGTTGCTTAACTGAATATCTGGAAGGATGGTGAAATACAGAAACGGGGGGGGGGGGCCCTCTGTGAGGGATGCAGTTGACCTCCTGCAATGAAAACAGAAGAAACCTCAGTATGGCAGCAGATTAAACCTCTCATGTTTTGAGGCTTCTCTGTTGATGGAGGAAAATCTGCCCTTTGCATGATTTTATTTCCCTGAGGTTTCTATTTCTCTGTCTTTTTATATATACTATTAGCCAGCCCAAGGGGGATGATGTGGTATAGCTATAGTGGAGCAGATTTGTGACTTTTTGTGAAGCAATTGTTATTGTTTGTTGTGACCAAAGGCCGTGCAGACTTATGTGAAGGATCACAAGGGCAGGATAAATGCCTCCTGTGGAGAAGGATTAAAATGGAATCCCCCAAATCAGTGGGGAGGTGTCTGGACCATTTGTACAATCCATACATATATGCACTCTCCTTCCCCATCCTAAACTAAGTCTCCCTCCCACGCACATGCACACAGGCAACCCATGCACCTTACACACATCTGTGCATATATGCACACACACCCCTTCCTTCTCTTTGCTGTAGTTGCACAAACAAGCACACTCTCTCAGGATCCCATCAAAATTCTTCCTTATTCCATATCATCCTCAAATCTGTTTTCTGAGCATCACAAATAGGTGCTCGCATTCATTCAGACATGCAAACGCATAATCCACCCCAATCCACTTGGCAGCTCCAGCTGGCTCCCCTAAGTCCCTGCTGGTTTCCCTGACTCCCCTGCAGGTTTCTCCAGTCTTCCTCCTGGCCTAGCCCCCAGCACCCTTTAGATTCCTCCCCCACCCAGTTTATTTGACAGAATGACAAAGGTCCTGTCTCCCCTCCCCCCCTCCCAATTTTTTGTGGTTGGATTAACTGCAGAAAAATGGGTTTGGCTTGCTTGCTTCCTGCCACCTTCATGGAAGATGAAAGGGAGGAGGAGGCATAAATATCCTGACTGTTTTCATTTCTTAAAAACCATTAAAATATGAGTCATGGATTACATAAGCTTATTTACATTTTATTTATTTTTTATTTATTAAAACATTTCTATGCTTTAATTTCTATCTACATGTGTGTGTTTGTTGGTAAAATGCCTGTCATTGGACTGAAAAGAGGATCACTTGAAAATTGCAGGCACCTGTGACTTCTGTGCTTCTCAGGGGCAGAAGTAGATTGTATCCATAAATTCATTGTACCTTGAGGGAAGTGGTGTGGTTCAGTGCTAGACAGCAAACTCATGGTCAGGTGTCTCCAGGTAGAAAAATCTCAGGTAGCAGGAATGAAAAGGACCTCCACTGGAAACAATAAGTTGCCGCTACCTAGAGAATTTAGGTCATGGGTTGATTTGGCTTCCTATATTCACTAGTAGAGTTGAAATTATAAAACTTCACCTTTGTTCCAATTGTTGTTCCCAAGTGTGACACTTTCCTTTATCCTATATCTACTTTCTTTTATGTTATTTCTCCCCATGTTTGCTGCAGTTTTCTCCCCAAGTGGACTAAGGAGCTTACAAAATTTACAATTTAGTAATTATACAATAGAAAATCTAGAAACAGTTGAAAGCCAATCATGAACAAATCATTAAAAAAACTCAAAGCCAATTGCAGCTTTTTTACAGCAACAAAGCTGGAATGGAAGGCAAAAGAATAATTAAACATATACTTTGAAGTCCTTGGACAGTTTTCAGGAAATTAGCAAAGAGCCAGTCTTGCCAACTTCAAGTGGACCTGCCAATCCCTAACTGAAGTACCAAAGCTTTGATTGCTTTTTTTTTTCTGTTCCTGGTCACAGTGGATACCAAGCTCACTTCAGATAAGGGTAAGATACCAGGAAGATGTATATGAGAACAAAGTGTTCAGTAGTGGTTGCCTAAGAAAATAATTACTGGGATCTTACTGCTCAAAGGTAGTAGAGGATGCTAGCAATATCACAGCTGCTACAAAGGGCTCTATTAGTATTTGAGGACAATTCATTTAGAGCAGGGGTTGAAAACCACTTCCAGCCCTAGAGCAAAAATCAGCTTCCGTCCGTCCGTCCGTCCTTCCTTCCTTCTGGGGCCGCCTTCCAGTGATGGGAAGGGCCAAAGGCAAACATGGGGCTAAAGGTAAAAAGAAAGGAGTCAAGATACAAAAGAGTACACAGCATATTAAGTATCAGCATATTGTATTTTACAGCCGTTGCTGCCTGTAACTAAATTTAGGAGACACATTTCACCTCTCTTGGTACGGTTTGAAAGTCTGCTTTTGACATTGTGGTATGCTGTGCAATCTGTGAAATGGGCTTGCAAGCGTCTTGAGGATTGGAACCAAAAAAGAAAGCAATCTTAAAGAGGGGTAGGGAGTTCTTCAGCAGAGTATGTGCTACTTCCATAGCCCTTCTGGCTTGCTGTCCCAGAGCTGGAGGACTGTGTTTGCTTCAGGGTAGACTCTTCTTTTCCCCTTCCACTGACTCCGAAGTTGGTGTAGGCTGGGCATTTATGGGAGAATGGCACTTCGGGAGCCCTCATAGCTTAGGCTTCCTTTTAAAGTAGGACTTTTGACATGGCTAATTGGGGATTTGGAAAGGGAATCTGCATATATATGTATATATCTTTTTCCAAAATTCCTAGGTAGCCCTATCAAAAACCTAATTTTAGAAGGAAGCCTGACAGTTGATGGCTTGCTGTCAAAACTTGGTGGTCCTGTAAATGGGTGGCTCAGACTCCCCCCCCCCCCAAATGTTATGAGCATCTAGAGTCCTGGAAAAGTACAAGAACACTAAGAAGAGTAAGGTCCAATCTGAAAAACTCTCAAGGGTCATGTAATGAAGGGATGATCTATTGGCCACTGCTTTTGCATACAAAGCTCACTTACAGCTGTCAAGAGAACACAAAGTAAAAAATGGACCTGGTTGCAGTATCACTGGGTCTGTGGTTGGTGCCTGTTGCACTTCAACAGCAGACATCTCCCAGGAAAGGATCCAGGCAAGCCTCCTGATTTCTCATCCCTGCAAATGCGCATTTTTGCCATTGTGCAAGTCCAACTAATTTTTTAAAAAAGAAATGGGAAAATGTGCAAATGTTTGTGCTTACATTTTTGTGCTTTGCCCTGTTTTTTGCATTGAGGGTAAAGATTCTGGCCTACATTATAGGGCCCCTTGTAAGTTATTATCTTCATGATAATCTTCATGAAGAGCACTGAAAACATTTAATCAATGCCAATGAGACTTCTTGGATTATTTTATTTAAAATAGCTATATCCTGCCTTTCTGCCTAACAACTGGCCTCCAAGGTGGCTGTCAATAAGTGAGAATGAACACATAACAACATACAATGAGATCATCTTTCAAAAGATGATCAGTCACTGCTGACTGCTTGATTAAGCCTTGAGTTGATGAAGGTGGAAAATGGCACCTCGACAGACCTTGCATGTTGCGGCTGCACTGGCTATTTCAGCTGCTGTTTTTGAAGGCTTCCTGGAGACCATAGTACAGAATGGTGCCCTTCTCATGTGTGCTACTGTTAGATAAAATGCTGCCTAGTAATCATTTGTACAAAGCAAGCTAGAGCCATGCGCAAAAGCGATGTGTAAAATGATGAGACAGACTGAGCTAGGCTACTTTTTGATCATTTAAGGAAACCTGACCAATTGACCGCTTAGGGTAGATATACAACTACTTTAGGAGAGTGGTAACTGGAAACAATAGCCAAAAGTATAAAAGGTTATTGAACGTGTGCCATCAAGTGTGAGAAACTGCTCTTTGCTTATGGCAAAAAGCCATGGCAGTATTGCCCTTCAGCTGAAGCCTGTTAAATAAAAGTATGTTTGAGCCTACTTTGAGTCTTTGCTTCCCTCTTGAAATGACAAATTTGCTCAAACCCTCTCAGGATAACAATCACAGGGTATAATTGTGCAATTTACCCAACACTGCCTAGCCATCAGAACTAGGAAGTGCCAGATGCTTTCATCCTGAAGAGACTGGGGAGTCTCTTCACACGGGTGTCTTGATTATCTGCCTGGTTCTTCTGGCTCAGCAGAAGGGTGCCTGGGGAAACCTCTTAGAAAATGATGATGGAACGTTTCCACTCTGCAGGCTTGAGATGCTACTATTTGAAATTGTATGAATATAATTTGCTCTTTCTCTTGTGACTCCCATTTCCTAGTACATTGCCTTATACCAGAGATGAAGCTACATGTTCACTAAGAGCAGTATTGTCTACTCTGTCTGGCTGCAGCCAGCAGCTGTTTGGGTCCTCATATGACCTCTGCCCTAAACCCAGTTTTTACAGGGTCACTCTTTTCCTCGCCCCCCGCCCCCACTGGTTAGTGACTGACCCTGGGTCCAATATATAAAACTAGTACTTAACTTTATAGCTGCTTAACTTATTTGAAGGTATATCTTAGCTGGCAAGTCAGCACTTTCTTAGGAAACTGCATGAGATGGTAGCTATGGATTTGTCTCAGTGGTGTGTTGTTCAACTCCCTGTATGAATCTGGGATTTCTCAGGGTGTGTGCATACTGCATGCTCCAAATTCTTCCCTTCATATGCTGTGCTAATTTGATAGTTTTGATCCAAGTGAACGGGACTGAAGCTGTAATAAATGTGTATACCTTGAGTAGTGCTCATCACAAGAGTGTTTATGTGTATCTTTTGAATCTGCTTCTAACTATCTTTACACAGGACAGAAAGGAAATCAGTATCTCACCTGGGACCACAAATGAGTCGGCCACAGCTTCAACAGTCCCTCCTCAGACTGATCCAGAAGTTATCATTGTGGGGTCTGGTGTACTTGGCTCGGCTTTGGCAGCGGTACTGGCAAGGGATGGAAGGAAAGTGACTGTAATCGAGAGGGATTTGAAAGAACCAGACCGGATAGTTGGAGAACTGTTGCAACCCGGGGGCTACAATGCTCTTAAAGATTTAGGCCTGGAAGGTATGTTAATATTAATAAAAACTGACGTCTTTGAGTCATAGCTTGTTCTCTTATGTGTTCATTGTCCCTCTTTTTAACACAAATCAGTGGAGCATTTGATTCTCCTTTTTCAGCTGCATGTTTTATAACAAATACAAGAATGTAAACAGACAAGACACTTCCCCTTTACCCATTGGCAGCCAGGCTTCTGCCATGGTTATGCAGTCTAAACTCCCCCTTCCCTTGTCTTACCCCTATACTTTATATTAACCTTAGAAAAAGAAGGGAGAAAAATCTTGAAAATAGGATGAGGAGGGAACACAGCAAATGGGGAAAGTTTCCTGCATCTGGAAGTAAAGAAGCAAGGTATGTTTCATCAAAGGCTTCCAGACCATTTCCTTGATTTTTCTGGAAATAGGAGAGGCATCTCATAGCCTGAAAGTTACCTGTCCTGTGGCTAGTAGCTGAAACATAGCACCTGTAGATGTCTAGTAGTGTCTTTGCTTTCTAGGTTTGAAAGACTTAAGAATTTAGGAAGCAGAGTAATATGAATCAGCATAAAGTTCTTAACTGTTTTCAGCAGTCTCTGTTGCTGTAGGAAAATATCCTGCATCATGGCTTTGTGTGGCTTCATTGTGCAATCTGGGTGAGATTTTTCAGGAATGGCATGGGTGTGAGGGCTGTTGAAGTGGTTCCTTGTATGGAAAATGAGTCTGGGTGCAACTTTGCCTAATTTTCTCCAGTAAATTCAATCAAAGGCTACCCTTGCAGAGTAAATTAAAAGTGGGTGGTATGTTCAATATGTTGCACTAGCATTCAAGCATGCACAGACACCATTGCACCAGCATGGCTGTTGCTGTGATTTGAACATGCCATAACTTCAGAGATTCAAGTCTCAGCGTTGGTGGCAGTGACGGTTATGAGATACAGCAGGAACAGGTGAAAGAGGCAAGTCTTTGAGATTTGGGGATTGGCGATAGCTACAAAGGGCAATGCCCATCACATGAGGCAAGAGCAGGGTTCAATAAATCCCCACTACCTTTTTGAATGCTACTTGCCTCACCTCGTATGAAACCATCTATAACAACGGAAGGCCAATGTCCTCTAAACATTCAGGGTTAAATCCTGACAACTGGCGATGCTGTCTACTGCTGCTGGGAGACAGAACCCAAATATCAGGACAGAAGGCAAGTTGCCTAAACCTGATCAAGAGTGTTTGGAACATCCTCCCACTCCACATTTCCATAGATTGTAAACAAACAATACTTTTTTTACCACCTGGAAAGGAATATTCTTATCTGTATGGCATAATCATTTGTGTCTTGCCATGATCTCCTTTGTCAAGCTGCTTTTGCAGGTTTTGCAGCATTTCAGACTGAATGCTGCAAAGCCTGAAAAAAAGTTTCCAGAAGCCTGAAGTGGCGCGCACAGAATGTGGATGAATAGTATAACACATGTATATATACACAGAGGTACATGTGCACACACACATATGTTTGGTAGCTATTTTCAAAAACTTTAGCTAATGAATTCTGATACTGGGTGTTAGGAAAAGGCAGCAAATGGTTTAGACATTTCATTTATTATTTTTCCTTTTTAATATGTAGGGTTGGGGAGAAGTACTTGTAGGGTTTTCTGCTTCATCTGCTAAAATAATTGGACCAGCCTAGTTTACTACACTCTTTGACCAGCTGTGTATTTGTACCTGTGTGTATTAGTTTCTTTGTTGCAGACAAAAAAATTCTTTGCCTTTGGCTGGTCCTGAGAATTGACAAACTTAGGACATTTTCTAAAATGACTGCAGAATAAGTGCCTTGACAGTTGCTGTCTCAGAGTAACATAGATATTGGAAATACACTAAAGTTTCTTTTGCATTTGAAGACCTTTTATGCCAGAAATCTCTCCCCGTTTTGAATTTTGATAAAAGCTTAACAAAACGTGTCAGAAGTACAAAACAGTCCGGTAAAGTCTTTAAGGAAAAAAGATAATGAATTTTTAAAAGCCTTTTTGAATGAAAGCAAGGCATAAACAATCCTCAAAGCAAGGGAAGGTACAGCTGCATGAGGCTTGTTTTTAGTAGCAGTTGTTATTATGACATCTTCTGAAGTGGTCTGAAGCCTGGCCTTGTTTCACCAACAAGTGGTGAGAAGAGGATGGAGTAATATAGGGAGAAATATTTCTAAAACAGGTTTGTCCAGGGCTGTGAATTACTATTTATTTGTTACAATTCAGAGAGTCCAATAACTGAAGTCATCAATGACAGCCCTGTACTTTGTATTGCACTAGTCAAACAAGAAGTTAATCAACCACAGATTGACTTGGAGAAATCCCAGCTTCTTGAGTAACTTCGAGTTCTACAATAATTTTTGCCAGTACATTTTCAAGTGTATTTTGGCAGCTTCAGAGTCAGAAACTTGCATTTTGGAAATTATAAAAAGTCTTTTCACAGTTTTTCCATAGTGAAGGATAACCTTAAATTCTCAGAATTCCAAGAAGTTTCTGAAGACTGAGCAAAACATTTTCCCAAGTTGGGGAAAACTTCCATCATTTATCCTTTCTGTAAGAAGCAGATAATGGGTGCATATATTTTGGGGGCGGCAATGTGTATCTTTCTCATATCCTTCGTTTCTTTCTTTCTATATTAACACTTATTTTCTAGAGGCCGTAGAAGGGATCGATAGTCACACAATTAATGGCTATATAGTTCATGACCTAGAAAGCAAATCAGAAGTTGAAATTCCTTACCCTACTGCGGCAAATGGTCAGATCCAGTGTGGCAGAGCGTTCCATCATGGGCGTTTCATCATGGGTCTCAGAAGGGCAGCCATGGCAGAACCCAAGTAAGTCTGCTGCAGTTAAAATAATAAGACATCTAGTAAGCTAACATTACAGGCTCATCTTATGCATACTGCTATGGAACTTCATCCTTTTGCTTGTTTTTTAAAAGTTGTCCCCCTCCTCTTATTTCTTTGACTTGCGGAGACTTTACTGTCTGTATAAATTAGAGGATGCATCTTTGGCATCTGCAGTTTATTATGACCTCCTATTCTGCATAGGATTGTTCAGTCATCATATGGCAAGCAGGAGAGGTGATCTTTTCTTTCTTGTGCTTGGACCTTCCAATTTATGCAAGATGGGCTTTTTCCTCCATCTAGCTGGCATGTTTCAGAGGTGGAGGGAATGAAACTGGAAAGGTTTTAGGATAGAAACATAGAAACAGAGCAAGTCAGATGGGGTCTCCCGGGCCATCTAGTCTGACCTCCGGCACCAGCCAGCTCCGCTCACGACATGCCCACCATATGGATGTCCAGCCTATCCTTGAACACCGGCACCGATGAGGCCTCAACGACCTCTTGTGGAAGCCCATTCCACACCCTCGGGGTCCTGACTGTCAGGAAGTGCTTCCTGGCATCCAAATGGAACCTTGTCTCCCTGAGCTTTGCTCCGTTAAAGCGCGCCCTGCCTTCCTCTGCAGGGGAGAACAGGTCTCTACCCATCTCCATGTGACATCCCCTCACATAGCTGTATGTCACCAACATATCCCCTCTGAGTCTCCTCTTCTCCAGGCTGAAGAGACCCAGTTCCCTCAGTCTCGCTTCATACAGCATCCCCTGCAAACCGGCCACCAACCTTGTGGCCCTACGCTGCACTGACTCCAACCTGGCTATATCCTTTCTGTAATCAGGGGCCCAAAACTGAACACAATACTCCAGTTGCAGGCACACCAGAGTCGTGTAGAGTGGTAGTAATACCTCTCTCGATCTAGAAGCCACACTTCTGGCTATGCAACCAAGGGTGGCATTCGCCCTCTTGACCACTGCATCATACTGCTGACTCATGTTTAGCCTGCAGTCAACCAGCACCCCAAGATCCCTTTCACAAGTGCTGCTCTCCAGCCACTTGTCCCCTAACAAGTGGCTGAAGGAAGTGGCTCGGATAGCTTACAAAAGGATAGTGTGATCAAAACATACGGTGAATGTTTAAATAAAAAAAATACAGTAAAAGGGACATTGCCATGCACATCGCTTCTGGCATGGCAATATCTGTCAAATAAAAACATTACGGTGTGTCCTCATCCACCTTATTCACTGGATCTGGCACTGTGCAGCTACTGGCTCTTTCCCCAATGATCATGAAAGGTAACCATTTTGAATTGATTCAGGACATTGAGGCTGCCACGACAGTGCAGCTAAAGACACTCATGAAAGAGGACTTCCAGAACTGCTTCAGAAAGTGGCAAGAATGATCGGATAAGTGTGTTTGAAGCAAGGGACAGTATTTTGAGGGGGATTGATGGCAATGTGCCCTTTACTGTAATTTTTTAAATTTAAACATCGCATTTTTGAGCACACCTCGTATATCCTGGCTTCTTCAATCTGCTCTGCTCCCCACCCACCAAAATGCCTCTTTTACCTCTTTCCAAAGTTGCTTTCCCAGAGTGGCACTTTCCATGCTGGCTGCAAGGGGTTGGGGGAGGAGAGGAGGCTGGAGATCCAGATTTGGAAAGGAGCTTCAACCACAGATCTGGGGAACTGTGGTTCCCCCCTTCCTCCCTCTATTAGCCAGCTTGGTAGAAAGAGTCACACTGGCTGCTGCTGCAAGGTCAGAAAAGTGACTTTAGAGAAAAGTTTAAGGTGGAGCGGGGGGATGGGAGACCAGTGTCCCAAGATACACCATCCCCTTGTAGTGTCTCAGCCTTCTTCTTTCTCCCTCTGAAGCACTGCAATTAGAAGGCAAAAATCAGCTGTCTAGCTATTTTGAAGAGTGGGAGGAGTGTAGAGGTGACCATTTCTCAGTGTATTGCTTCCACTGTGCATTAGATGTGATAATTGTTGTATTTGCAGGGCTACAGGCATCCCCACTGGATTGCGCCCTGAACATTTAAAAGTTTATTTTCATATTATAGGGGCTTGATATCTTTCAAATAAATTCTGAGGACAGCTTAAGAAATACTTTATACGGAAAACACAATGGCTGCATGTGTCCTGTTGTTAAGCCATTATTTTATGTGGCTTTCACGTAGTGACATGCAGCATATTAAGGCTTAAGTTAAAATCATTTTCCTAGACTGGTTTCTTTCCTTCAATTTTTACAGACTGATTTTCTTCACCGTTCATTTTTTCTTGAAGACCTTTTATGTTCTTCTTCCTATCCTTTCCCTCTTTCTTCATCTCTTACGACTTTTAGATCATAAGATTTTACCCAGGGCTTTTTTAATTCTTTAAATTGTGAAACACTTAATTGCATGTAAATAATGCAACTCCCACATGCACACAGCTTTATGGGACCAGGTTTCCCAGACCTAATTAATTAATTAATTAAACTTCTATGCCACCCCATTCACTGAAGCCTCAGGGCGGCTCACAACAATAAATAAATAATAACAATATAAAATCAATATAATTTGAGACATATATTTTATATACGTATACTTATGTATAAAGGTGTTTAGGAAGCAGATTCAATTCGTCATAGTTGCCTGTGATTTTAAATAAGATATACCTGACCCATATACCTCAGAGTACAGGTTATTATTGACTTATGAACAGTCCAGTCCTTTGGGTAGGCTTGTGACAAGTTTTCCTGAGTCATAAAGATAGGGAGGGAATGTATCAGGTCCTCTGGCCTAGCAGTAATGAGCAAGTTCTTTGGCAGAAGTCCCTTGTAGTATTATTATCATTTAATTTTTATACTGCCCAGAAACTGAGGTTTCCAGGGCTGTTCACAACAGTTCACAAAATTGCAAGAGTGCATTAAATTCACAAAGCAGCACAATAACACAACCTTTCAGGACAAAATTAAAAACAATTTAAATTGCGAAAACAATTTCAGCAAAATACCAGACCTGTTAAAACCAGCAACCACAAACACTCCATCATATGTCACTGAAAGTCTCATTGTGGACCACTTGATGTTCATGAGAAACTCAGCACAGTGAAGGCAATGTTTGTATTTTATCTTTGTAATCCGTCCTGAGGCTTTTGCAAAGGACAGCACATAAATATCCTAAATAAATAAATAAGGCACAAAATATTTTTATTGTGGCACAGCAGTTAAAGAAACAAAACAAATTGGCACATGTTGGTTGTAGGAGTATTCACTCCTTTTGTTGCAACGTGCCTGAATAAACTCTGGTGCAACCCACTGCTTCAGATAACGGTATACTATCAGTAGCTGAATGGAATCCACCCGTGTGAAATTCTTGTGCAACCTGATCATGCATTCAATGCACCTGTTTCTGAAAATCTGCTGACTGTGCTGGAGAGCATATCTAAACCAACAGCATGTTGAAGAGCAAGGAGATATCAAAAATACTCCAGGATAAAGTGGTGCAGAAGCACAATTGGGGTTGGGTTATAAACAAATCCTAAATCCATTATTACAAAACGGGAAAAATATAACTTAACTGAGATTCTTCCTAGAGAAGGCCATCTTCCAAAACTCAGTGGCGGGCTAAGAAGGTCATTAGTCAGAGAAGGAAACCCCATGCCAACGGCCACTCAAGGAGACAAAGGGTTCTGCAGCTGAGATGAGTCTCCCTTCGCCCTCAAGAACAGGGAGATAACCTGTGCAGTTGCTTCTCTTCAGAGGAACTTTTGCACCTGTTAGGGTACAAGGTGCTTCTTCTAGGTACAAGTAACTGCTTGAGTCGCAATGCTATGTAATTTGTAGTTGTATGTATTTTTTTTTAAAAAGAGACCTTCTTTTTTTCAGTACAAAATTCATTGAAGGGACAGTAGTGCAATTGCTTGAAGAAGATGAATGTGTAGTTGGAATTTTGTACAAAGATAAAGAAACAGGTGACACAAAGGTAAGACACAAAATTTCCTAGATTGGCACCCAAATTTTTTCTGGTTTAAGTGATCCTGTGTAAAACCAAAGCAATTAGTGTAACCATAAGCAAATACATCAGTACAATGAACTCAATAAAAATATAGGAACAAGTGAGATGACTTGGTATTATAATTGTTAACCTGCACTATATTTTCATTCTCTACCTTTCACAGTATGGATATTGCTTTGGGGCACTTACTATTGTGGAGTATATAGATTTGTGGGGAAATTGTAGGTTTGAAAACCTGCCCCCAGATGTATAGGGTTTTGGCTTGTCTGTTTCTTGTTCTGTAGGGTGGGGGAACAAAGCAGCAAGGAAAACACAGTCTGACTGCTTCCTCCATTAATCATCCATAGCCATATGCTAATAGCCATGGAATATTGACAAAGCAAAAGCAATATTAATCAATATTGATAGCCTAAAGTAGGGGTAGCTGACTCAGGCATGTGGCTTCCAATTTTGGGTGGTTCCCCAGAGGGCCCCTTCTCCAGTTTTCCCCAACTCCAGTAGCTTGGTGGGTTTCTGCCCTTTGTACAGTCTTTTCCCATTCTGAAAAGCTAAAATCCTTTGCTCAGTTCTAGCAGTAACAGGTCTAACCTGAAATGTGGTGGTGTTTTTGGCTTTTTATATTTCGATCCCACCTTCCCTTGCCTGCAGCCCTACGTACAAATGAAATGCAGCCTCATGCAGCTTCCTTAAAAATGAATTTGGCCCTTGAATTGGATTTTGGCCCTCATTTGGATTTTGATTTAGTGGCCTGCAAGTTTTGATGAGAGCTGGAGTCCGTTCCGTACATCCAGCCTCCACTATTCACAAGCTGGATTGGTCAACTCCCCACAGTTGTGGTACCAGCAAAAAGTATGCTTGTGGTATCAGATTCCTGATACTGTCACTGGTGGAAAAAATAACCTTTTAGGCATGCTTCTTTTACTTATTTTATGATAAAGGAGATCGTAAGCTGGTGTCAAAGTGGTGGAAATGTGCTTTATTGCCTTTTCTTGTAATTCTTTGTGTCTCAGGAGCTCCACGCACCCCTCACCATTGTTGCTGACGGCCTTTTTTCCAAGTTTAGGAAACATCTTACCCCCAACAAAGTCAGAGTCCCATCTCATTTTGTAGGATGCCTTTTGAAGGTAAGTGTAATTGCCTTTTCTTGAAGGTAAGAAGATGTAGATGTGTTGTTAATCCATTTTAGATGCATAACACAGTGTCCAGGATGCGTATTTCAGAGTAGTCCCATTTCAGTTTTTAGCGTTACTGTAATTACCACTGACATTTGGATGTTGCTGTGTCAATTAGGAAAAGAGCGTGTAGGTTAGTAGCTTGCTGAAATTCATGGTAGAACCAGAATTTATTGGGAAAAGTCCATCAGGCAGCACTTTCAGTAACATCCTTTCTCTCTCTCTCTCTCTCTAAAGGATTCACCTCAATTTAAAGCCAATCATGCCGAACTTGTTTTGGGGAACCCTAGTCCAATACTTATCTATCAGATTTCTTCCAATGAAACCAGAGTTCTTGTTGACATTCGAGGTGAAATGCCAAAGAACCTTAAAGAATACATGATTGAAAAGATTCATCCACAGCTACCAGGTAAATATGTGTAGTTAAAATGTCAGTATTACTGATAGACCCTGCTGCTTAAGTCTGTGCATAAATATTTCTTTTGCTGCTCAGTTGCTTTGCAATTAGAGTAGCTTATTTGCCCAGATGGGTTGAGCTGATGGGTTTGTGTCTTGTTTAGGCTTGCTGGACTGCAAAGGTACTGGGCAGATGGGCAGAACACCAGTTGTAGCTGGTTGTAATTGGAGAGATGGTTGGGAAATCATCCATCCATCCATCCAATCTATCTATTTTATTTAAAATATTTATACTCCATCTGTACCCAAAATGGGTCTCAACAAGGCTCACAACGGTAACAGCACAATTAAATACAATGTAAAAATATGTAATAAAACACCATCAAACCTTAAAATACTGGGTGAATAAAAAGGTTTTGACCTGATGCGAAAAGACTAAAGTGTCAGTGCCAGGTGCACCTCCCTGGGAAGCAGGAAGGGCCAGGGCACCACCACTGAAAAGGCCCTTCTCCAGGTAGCCACTCCTCTAACCTCCTTCGGAGCGGGCTCCCAAAGAAGGACCTCAGTAGAAGGTCTTAAGGCTTTGGCAGGTGTATATGGAAGGAGGCGTTCCTGCAGAGGAAGGCAGACAGAGCCCCTGTGACTGCAAGAGGGATGGCAGCTGCTCCCCTTCCTTCCTCTCCCCAGGGGTGGCACTTTCACTCCCTGCGTCGAGGGGGGACTTGCTGTGACGGGTGGTGAGGGCAGCATAAAGCATGCCGCTCTGCGGGGGGCGCAGATGCAGGTCCAAATGGGTGTTGAATGGGCAGCAAATTAGCTGTGCCCTTTGGTATCTGTTGTTCGGCAGCTGCCCAAGGCTGCCCTCCTTAGCAGCATGGGCAAGGAAAGGGCCTGGTCTTTGAGTCTCCGCCCAGGAGGAGGTCCCTGCGTGGAACAGCTTCCTGCTCCTGGACAGCTCCTCTTCATCCCCCGCCCTCACCTCCTAGGCTGCACTGATGCTTCTTCCACCAATGGCAGCACCAGCCACGTTCAAGGTGGACAACATGAGGGTGGAGGGTGCATGTTGGTCTGCGTGGTTAATGTCCTCTTCTGGGTTTTGGGCAAATGGCAAATATCTGGAATGACTAAAATGCTCTCCTTTTGTTGTTTCTTTTTACAGAGCATGTACAGGAGGCTTTCCTAATAGCTATACAGAATGATCGTTTGAGGACCATGCCCGCAAGTTTCTTGCCTCCTTCTCCTGTTAACAAATCTGGTATGTGAGCGGAACAGCTGAAGACCTAAGGGGCAGCTGATCCAAAGGCTTGGGCAGGCCCAGTGGTATTCCTGTTTCTTTTCTGTGACTCACGCGGAACACTGGCCTCATTATGTTGAAATTTTTAACCAGCATTCAGAATGTTGGCACTTTGAAACAAGATCCGCAAAAATTCAAAATGAATTCCATAATGCTGTAGCTGTGCAGTTGTGGTTGACTTCAGGAGTTTTTTCTTTTTAGGTGTTCTTCTCTTGGGAGATGCTTACAACATGAGGCACCCTCTCACAGGTGGGGGAATGAGTGTTGTTTTGAATGATATCAAGATATGGAGACACCTGTTGCAAACCATTCCAGACCTGTATGAGGACTCGGCTGTTCTGCAAGTAGGTCACGAGTCTGGCACACCTGCATTTCCTCTTCTTGCTGGGATGTGGGCAAGGAGTGTGAGCCATGCATTAACAGTAACAATGCAATTAAAACCTGGAAAACTTGCTGCACAATTAAAATCTATACAGATTAAAGATTATTAAAATACTGTTTGAATAAAAAGGTCTTGGCCTGGCACCAAAAAACAAATAACGACTGCACCAGGCAGACCTGTCTGGGGAGCGCAGTCCACAGATGGGGCGCCACCGCAGAGAAAGCCCTCCTCCGGGTACTTTGCTTCCTGATATCTCTTACGGAAGGCTCCCGGAGGAGAGCCCCTGCTGCCGATCTCAAGGGGCCGGAGGGCAAGTATGGCCACACTCCTTGTCCTGTGCATCTGCTGATGTATGCATTGAACCAAACTTAACTAGCAATAAATCTTTAAGATATTGGGAGATTTGTGACTTCTGATAAACAAAATGCTCTTCTTGGACAGCCCTGTACCTTTGTTCCCAGTCATTCTATTTAGACATGCAAAATTTCTGGAGATTTTCTGCCCTCTGCATGATGGTGGTAAAGGGCAATTTTTTTTCTGGGGAGAAGGGGGATGGGTTTGAAGTATGTGCCATAATGGCTGACTTGCTTCTCCTGAAGTTTATCTACCAGGTTGAGAATGAGAAACGTGTTACGAATTCATGTTAAGAGAGTATGTGCTGAGGAAAGGGCCATTGGTGGTATTATTATTATTATTATTATTATTATTATTATTATTATTATTATTATTATTATATTTCTATGCCGCCCCTACATTCAGATGTCCCAAAGTAAATGGTCAAGTAGCAGGTTGATGGGAAAGTCCACTGCCTGAGACCCTGCGGTAATATCCAACATTAATCTTACGAATGAATAGACCCAGTGAAATGAGTAACACTTAAGTTAGGGATGACTTAACTAAGTTAAGGCACAATTGCATGCAAGTTTAGAAGAAAAATTGTCTACATGGTGCAGTCAGCATAGTCCCATTCATTTCAATGGATCTGCTAAGTAGGACTAAAATTGGATACAATAAAAGTAGGCAATATTAGCTACATGAACCATGGGCCTAGAGCGACTCCATAGGTGAGGATTGCTTCCATAATATATATAACAAAAGACAAGTGGTCCATGTTGCAGGGGAAAAAAACATTTTCCAAAGTGCATTAGGCAATAATGCTTTCCATAGGCACTTGAAACTCTTTTTTACTGTCTCCCCTTGGTTTCTCAATCCTTGTGTTGGTCGGCTCTTGAGACCATGGGCAACTTAAATTGTCATCTTAAAACATAATAAACTGGCAGCACTTTGGGTCTCTCTGTTCTGTCTCAACGATAGCAGTTCCTTGTTTGTCTTTTGCAGGCAAAAAAGACATTTTATTGGACAAGAAGAAGTTCCCATTCCTTTGTTGTGAATGTTCTTGCTCAAGCACTGTATGAATTATTTGCTGCAACAGACGGTAGGTGCTTTTCTAAATGACACGTCTTCATAAGCTGTATCTGTGTCTCTGATCCACATGGTTCTTTTGTAAGGACTAAATGCCCACTGGCAGGACAAAGCAGCTGGATTCATCCCCAGTGTTGCTTTAGCCTAGGCTTATAACTTGGACACAGGAATTCTTTTTGATTGTCATGGAAATAGCTGCCCTGAACTGCATTTTGGGTATATTCTCCACATCCAACCAATGATATTTAGAATAACTTACTATGTACAAGCAACAAAGTCCCTAAGGGTACCCTGGTTATTTTCCTCGGTAACTGTCAAGGCACCCTACCTCTTCTTGATTAATAGGGAAAAAAACAAATGAAAACACCTTTCTAATTGGAAGCGAATGCTGCTTTAAAGCAAAGCGATGGCCCCTAGTCGCTGCCATCTGCGCATTGCAAGAATGCCTGCTGGCTCTGTGTGGGACTCAGACCTAGTTCACATGAACTGTCTCTGCGTGGGTTCACATGATCATCTGCAGTCCTGGCGATTTAAATAACCCCTTGTGATACACTGCATGTGCTGGGTACGTGTTCCATCACCCGGCCACCACTCATAGGCTGTTGTGTCATCTTAACCCATCTTAATCCAGGGGTCCATGACAGCCATTTTGTGGTGGTGCCCAGAACAGTTTCTCATTTTTCCAAATGTGCCCACAGATTCAAAAAGGTTGGAGAGCCCTGACACAGATTTTTGGAATGACTTTACAAACTCATAGATGCCCCTAAGGAGGAATCCCCTTTCTCCCCTTTACTTGTACCTCAATCCTATTTCTTTCTCTAATTTTTCACTATGTCATTTCTCTAACTCTTAGCAACCTACCTGTGTAGCTACAGATCAAGTTCTTTGCCTTGTGCTCCCTGTATCCAACCCAATTAGCCGTGTGTGAATCTTCTTATTAAGAATCAGCCTCTCCATTTTCATCCTAATAGATGGTCCTATCTCTTTGCCTTCTCTTCGCATCCACAGCCCCCTCTAGAATAAACTAACTGCTGCTTCTATGCAGTTGTACATCGTCTGTTTTGTAATCAATTATACATTCGCTTGCCTGTTTTTTTTCCCACCTGGGCACCCCAGTTCCTGCAATGGTAGAACTACGATGGCATGTTAATATTCAAACTTGCCATTCAGGTGCACATGTGCATGACAGCAGGTGAGGATACATGGGAGACATAGTTTTTGCATGTCAGTTTAATATGGTGAAGATTTCATTCAAATGTATAGGATAAGATTTTCAAGGGAAATTTAGAAATAAATGTTTTGCTGCCCTATATGCTGCAAGATTATTCCTCATTTACAAACTAATTCCATTCTCATTCCGGGTGTTTTTGTAAAGCAGCTTATCCTTTCTTTCTTTCTTTTTTGCCAGATTCTCTACATCAGCTAAGAAAAGCCTGTTTCCTTTACTTCAAGCTTGGTGGCATATGTGTATCTGGCCCAGTAGGATTACTTTCTGTGTAAGTAGGGGACACATTTACAACCCTTGCTCAAGTTGTGATCAAGACAGTAGAAGGTACTGTCTTGCTCTGGGAGCTTAGAAGCCTTGTTAAAGAGGCTTTTAGTGAAACCTGCTTGCCCAGGGAGGGACAGAGGGCACTGGGTATCTAGCAGAAGGAACACCCCAACGTCTTCCACCTATTTAATATATATAAGCCAGCCAAGTTATGTGCCAGTGTATTTTGACCCCCCCATTTGAATTATTCATTATAATGTAGGAAGCTACCTTATGGCAGGTCAAAATAACTGTGTCTCTAGTGCAGTGTAATCTCTTCTTGAGTGGGAATAACTGCAGTGAGAGCTCGTTCACATCACTAGCTGCTAGATCCTTTTACTTAGAGCTGCTGGTAATGATGCCTAAGGAGTCCGTTTTGTGGGTGGGAGTCTGTTGGATTCCCTAGGCTCAGCTCACTGGACTCCATTCTGCTTTCTCGGGGCTGTGAGGCCAAGCTCCTAGGAAGCAAGCCCAGAATTTGCACGGCGCTCACCAGGAATTGAGCCCTGGGTGACAGCAGCACAAGCAGCATCCTTCTTCCACATTATGTGCAGCAGCCTTTGTTTGTGCTACTTCATGTGACATTGAGGAAGGTGCAGCCAGGGTTCCATGAACATTCACAGGCTTCCTCCTGGCTTGGCTTGTTTAAGGCCAGGCAAAGCACAAGAGGAAGTTGGCGAATGCTAGAGGGAGACTCCGTGTAGTTTTGTGTGAATCCTAGTTGCCAGGCACTGGACCTGGACCTTTCTGCGTATAAAGCATTTACTTTTCCTGTTAAGCTGCAGTCCCTCCCTTTTAAAGCATCTAAGAATTAAACAAGGCCTTGTGCAATAGAACAGTAGTGCTAATTTCATAAGAAGACTTTGCCTCTATGTGGGCAACCTTGATAAGCTGAATCATATGGGAAAAGGAAGTGCAAGGGGGCAAGGAGAAACCATGGAGAAGGAGAGGCACTAAATTATATCAACTAGTTAACAGGGAAAGATTCATGAAAACAGGGATGAGTTAAAGTCAGCCCTCAGCTACTTTGGCATTTGCCTAAGAACAAATTGTAGATCATCTGTAGGTCATGTAACCCACAAATGATGCAAAATGTTTGGGTGTAGATGTCGCTAATAACCCATGAATGGGATGTTTGCAGGTTGCTCTGCAACCCAGAAGCAGCATATGGTTTGCAAGTCCCCTGCTATTCATAAGTTCATTAATCCATGGTTTGTTGCTGTGAGGTAGAAACCAAGGCTTAAGGGTGCTTCTTGAAGATGTACAAAATGTTAAAAAAAGCAGCTTGTTAGCCATTGGCTCCTCCATTTGATCACAGAAAAGTTTGCATGGAAAAGTAAGAGAGCACTGATAAGCTTGATTTGTGCTAGCACTAAGCCACTTATGGGAAAGCTTAGAAAGAAGAAAAGAAGTTTGGGTTGCCTTTTAAGGGATAAGGCACTGGATTATGCCTTTCATTATCTAATAATTTCAATAGATGATTATTTTGATGAATTCTAGCATTTGTCAGTCCTAGATTCTAGATAACTTTTCATCGAATCCTTCCCTACAGCCTTTCACCGAACCCTGGTACACTGATTGGCCACTTCTTTGCCGTTGCATTCTACGCTGTTTATTTCTGCTTCAAGTCGGAATCTTGGATCACCAAGCCACGGGCAATTTTCAGCAGCATTGCTGTGTTATACCGGGCTTGCTCCGTCCTATTTCCACTCATATACTCTGAAATAAAGTACCTCATCTATTAAATTCATGGAGACAAATCTGCGGTGTGAGGAAGTACTCCTTACTCACCCCACTTTGTGGATATAGAATGGGTTCTGCTCCATCTCATGTTTAAAAAAACACATTTTATTTTATTGGTTTTATTTTGCAATTGTTGACGCAAATTTTTCTTTAGAGACAGCCTGATATATGCATATGGTTGGTATAAAATCTCCTTGAATTGGTGAAGCCAGGTGCAGGGGTACACGCGTAATCTTGCCAAACAAGGAGGTGACATCTTTGTAGGAAGCATCTTCATCCATGTGACTGAGTGGGACTTTGGGGAACAAATCACAGAAATTAATGATCTTTGGTCTGGCAGCAGTCAAGTTCTTTCCTCTGACTGTGGAGCTAAATGTGACACAACCTCCATAGCGTGACTGCACTGCCAGAACTGGTGACAAGATGTCCCTAAATCATTCACTGATCCAGAGGTGATAAACCTGTTTCTGGGAGGTGCCAGCTGAAGGTGCAGGTGAGAACTGGCATGGTTGGAATGCTGTTCCATACGCCAAACCCCACCCTGCTTACAGAAAACTAGCTTGTCTGGGAGAAAGCGAGGCTGGAGCTTCTCCCTGGCATCTAGCCTTGTGTCCTCTGGGGTGTTTGTTTTGCTTTCTGTGGAGGAATATTCAATCTTGCTAAGTCCCTATCTGAATTTTGAAGTGGTGGTTGGCAGACAGTTTAGCATTTCATGAGAACTAAACCATTTTCTAGGTTTATTTGATTCTTACGATGAACCCTGGAGAATTGCATTGTGCTGGCTCAGGTAACCAGTGCGTCCTGTTTACAGCTTTTAATGCAGGGATGCGTAACCCACGGCCTTCCAGATGTTGGACTACAGTGTGACAGCATCACACAAAGATGGATGATTTGCTAATAGTTACAGAGAGGAATATATGTGCGCATGCACACACAGCACACACAAAAATGTAGTGTTGATATGATTTCTTTATGCAAATGAAGTACCTGAAGGAGATAGATGTTTACAGTTTCCACTATTAAGAAAGGCAGTAGCTAAAATGCTGCTGTTCCCAACAGCGTTGCTAAACATGCCCTCTTAATGTTAATAAAAGCTAGTGAAACAAAGACGGGACAGCTCAAATCATTAACTTGCCTTTGGGCTACTGATACCTTTACATTTTCTGTTTCGATGCGAAACCTCTATTGTCAAGATAAACTTTAAATGCATTGTATTCAATTAACACCTGTTGCCTCCGTTTTGCTTCCTCTGTTATAAATACTGGGATCTTTTCTTTTTAAAAATAAAATTCATTTTGCAAGGGGGAATGGGAAGGCATGGCACTGGTAAAGGTATAAGGCATTACGGTAGCACAGATGTCATAATCCTTGCTAACTAATCCTTGCTAACAACTCTGTGTGCCTGTAGACTGGCCTTTTCTGCTACTGGGCAAGGTTCCCAAAGCTGGTTTGGCTGAAAATGAGAGGAGTAGAAGAAAGAAGGTTAGGGAAGAGTAGCCTACAGAATCTGACTCTGTGTTAGTTGCTACACTTAAAAGAGTTTTTCACAGGGAGGTGTGAGCATTTGGGCTGTGGCCCCGTTTTAGATCCTCAGAGTTTTTTCATCACTTAAACATAAAGGGAGCTTATATGACTCACAAAGTAGGTATATTTAAATATAGGGAAACTAAGGGAATTTAGAAAGTTTTGTTGGTACAAGGAAGAGCTTCTCCTCCGCATGAAAACAAATGCAGTGCTGCAGATCAATGCCGCACTTGAAACACTTGGGCTCAGTCCTTGGGACCTCAGTAGCCACTGCAATTTATCTGTAGTTCCTCAGTTCGCATTCATATTTTCCCCATGTAAACATGGGCAGTTCTGTGGGTTAGACTGGAGAAACTGGACTAATCCTTGCTAAGGCTTGGTCTAGTCAATGACCAGTTGACAATAAAATCATTGACCAGTAACCACTTGGGAGTGGAAAGTACACGTTCGAGGAGCCAGGCCTGAGGCCTGTGGCCCAGATCCAGCTATCCTGGCAGTCCAGTCTACACATATGGTATTCCCTTTCTTCTACTGCCAATTGTCTGGTAGTTCAGTGCATTTTGCATCATTTTACCCGTTTCTCACAAATTAAAAAAACCATAAACTTTAGTTACCGACAGTAGGAACATTAAGCTAAAATACAGTGATATTTTGGTTCTGCCTTCTCCTTATCTCCTCCCTGTTTTGCCCTCAGCCCTGCTCTTCACTGGAGTGCAGCTCCAAGGGCTGCTCTGAATTTGGTTTCCTGAAAGCTGCCTCCTGTATAATGTCTACAAGTATATGCATGCTTCGGCATAATCCACTATTTTCCAGTAGGAAGAACAATCCTTGCACTTAGAAATCCAGCAAGTCAGGGGAAACCTACATAGCCTCACTTGACATCTGGCTGGGGTAAATGCCTTCTTAATTTTAGGAACAGATAGATTCACCAACTAATTTGCAAGCAGAAGTGCTCTCCCATTGTCTCTGAAATCGGGAAATGCTTTTATTTAATTAATTTATATGCTGCCCCACTATCCGTAGGCTCTCTGGGGGGCTTACATCATGATAAAATCCATATACAACATAATAAACAACACAATGTACAACACCATACTAGATGGGTACTAGCTTTGGGTTTCCAATTACTGTACCAAGAGAACATGAGAATTGTAGACTGTGTAGTTTCTTATTCAGTGTTCTTTTCCATTTGGACTGGAAATCATCAATTAGTGTTAATGGGGCAAGTCCTACATGAAAAAGAGCATTTTCAATCAGAAATTTATCTTGTGTACTTATGTCTGCATCTCTATGGGGAGTTGCCCTGCTTCTAGACATAACATTGCATTTGGCATGCAGCTTGGGGTTCCAAATACGGCGCTCAGAAATTTAGTTTGTATAACCTCAAATTGACTGTATTGGTCATAAATACATATCTGTGGGCCACATAGCATCTGAGCTGTAAATACCTGCAAAGTTGAGGGGATATACTGCATCCCCCAGAATTTAAAAACCCCCAAAGAATGCTTTAAACTACTCTGAAAATTTGCAGTGACAATTGTATTTCCCGAGAGCCTCTTGAATGAAAAGTTACACCCAGACATCTCCATGTTGTAACATGTTGCAATTGGGGTGCTTGTTTATATGCCACCTATGTTACACCTCGTTAAACCTTGGCGTGGTTAATTACGAACAGTTCCTTTGACAATAACAGATAAAGGAGACACTTCTATACATAACCTATAAGCTATGGAATTTGCTGCTGCAGGAAGTGGGGATGGCTGCTGCTCTGGAAGGCTTTAAAAGGGGACTGGAGAAATTCATGGAGGCGGCTATCAGTGGCTACTAGCCTTGCTGGCCATGTGCTTCCTCCTTGACCAGAGGCGACCTGCCTGCATCCACCAGTTGCTGAGGAGCTGGGCAGGTGGAGGTCTCATTCGTTTCAGTGGAAGGGATGGGAAACTCTGCACATGGCTCTGGTAAATCACATGTGAATCACAGAGTCCACACAGCATTCTGGATCATGACAACTGAGCATCTTATCATGGACTTTAAAAAATATTTCGGAAATGAATTTTTCTCACTGATACTGCTTTTTACCTTTTGAAATGGCATACTGAAAAGTCTTAAATGTCAGTCCCATATATGATGAAAGCTGAACCACAGCAGTTTGCAGATGTACATGATATAATACCTGTTAACAACTTTTTACATCCGTTTTTAATTTTTTAAAAGAAGTTTTGTTGTCAGACTTCTGGGACACAGACCTTATTGGCAAAAGGCCCATTGTTATAATGAAGATAACTATTTCAATAAAAGTTATGATACTTTAAACAAGTGTTCTTTTCTGACTTGAGGGGAACTGAAAATTTAACCCTTGCTGCAAGTGTAGTAATAGCAGCTACTTCTCATGTAACGCATTGCAAAACGATTCACATAATGTGCGTATAACAGTGTTGTGAGACTATTTTTTTCTATATGGACTCAGGGTAAATATATGTAATATTTGGGCAAGGATGGCTTCATCAAGGGCATTTGAATTAAGATAGGCCTTGAGCTGGAAACAGCATGAACCCTTGGCCTTAAACTGGACCCCTCTTCCTGAACTTCCACTGCACCCGAAGCCTCTGAGGAAAGCGGTAGCTTCAAGTGAACCTTGGATGCTCTTGGTGGACTTCTGCCGCTGATTCTCCGGTTGATGGCAGGGGAAATACCCTCAGCTCAATGTGCAAAAGCAGCTGCATGTGTGTAGCCCATAGATGGCATCCGATCTAGTAAAGTAACTTTTATATTTATCTTCATCTTTAAAAAAATCTTAGACATCTTAATGAAACATTGTTTCATTAAAACTGAAAGATAAAGTGTGGTAAACAATTGCCTCATGGAACCTTAAATACCATTTAGGATTGATTAAGCTTTCATGGAACCTGTTAGATTACAAATCACATCACCCATTGCCAAGAACTCCATCCCGCATAATTACCTGCAATATAACTTACTGACTCAGCTGCAGATTTCAAAAAATGACATCCTGAAATAGGAGATGCCGCAGTGCTATCTGATACCACACAGTTTTATTCAGAAGTCAGTCCCAAGTGAAGTAAGCATCCTGAGGATGGGATACAGCCCACAAAAGACTAGTTCAGGAGCTATACTTTAACTCCTAACTCCTTTGTAAGAGGATGGCAGAGACTGTATTCTTCCACACTTTTAATCCAGAATGAAATTTGGGGAGCAAGTCCTGCTAATTCTGTTGAGGGTGATGCAATTAATTCTTGGGGGCTTTCATACCATGTATATGAGGATGCTGCAGATCTGGATAGGGAACTGACAAAGTAGTTATACAAGGCCCTTTCTTATTCTCAAACAAAGTTGATGCATAGGACTGTAGCAAAAGTATCACTCACGTCTTCTCCTTCCAAACAAACCATCTCATACTTCATATTTATTTTGCAGAAGGGTAAGAATCTTGCCTAATGCTACCCAAATTATCAAATACAGCCAACCACAAGAAAATGTACAATGAACACTCCAGAGCATGTAGTTCTGATTTTTAAGAAGCACAGCAGCAGTGGGATTTCAATTTCCAACCCTTATGTGTATATTTGCTTGGGAATAAACCTCCTAGAATTCTGTGGAAATTTATCTTGAGTAAAAATGCACTGAACTAGGCTGCATCCTGTAAATGATGGTTCAGAGAATCTTCTACTTCATCAGGCTGGTTACTTGTGGTCCAGCAAGAAAGATCCATCTGTAGAAAGTATCTTCTGTATGAGCAGCCAACAGTAGCTGGAGGTATGCATGCATTCATCTTAGGATAATCAGTGAGATATATCTGCATTTCCAAAAGTACTAATTCCCTCTATGAAAATGACTTCCACAGTCTTAGAGATGAAGAAAGCCACAAGGGTTTGGTGCTGAAGAAATAAAATATTGCTGAAGTATGTAAAAAACTGGTAAGTATTCTAAGGCTTCTCATTTCATTATGATTACTTTAATTGCTATTCAAAAAGTCATTCCTGTCCACAAACTGCTGGAATAAATTGCATTATTTTTGTACAGAAAGTATTGTCTACAACATGACAGATTAAATATAAAAGTCAGTTCACTTGTATCAGTTAAGCACATTCTGAAGGATTCTGAAACATAGTTTTAAGGGATTGGCATCTATTATTATGTTAAGTTCATGCATCTATAGAGGTTTTCTGTAAAGTGAAAAGTAAAAGGCAGAGTCGAAGTGCTAATTTTTGCTCTCACTCTTTATCTTCTCCCAAGTCCTTGTATAATATTTTCATTTTGGTCTACCGCTTGCATGGAAATTCACAGAACTGTCCGGAACTCATCAAAAATGAAATTAGGCACGTGGGCGTCAACCACCTGGAACAATGAAGGACATTTCACCAAGACAGTGTTAAACATTCTGTAGAAACTGCTTCTCTAACTCAGATGGTACAGTAACACTGCACATTAAAAGAAGAAAAATAATTTGAAGCAAAATGGCAAGATGGGTGTGTTCCAAACCATTTCACATGCACTCCTGAACAATGAGGACTAGTGTGCTGTGATGGTTATAACGTTGGACAGGGACCTGGGAAATCCGGGTTTTAGTTCCCATTCATAAAGTTCCCTGGGTGGCTTTGGGCCAGTCACTCACTCTCAGCCTAACCTATCTCACAGGGTGGTTGTTGTGAGGATAAAATATTGCTGGTTTTCCCTGTTTCCCCTCACAAGCTTTCACACTGTATCAAGGACACACATGGAAAGCAAGATAGGAGCAGAAAATTCCAGTGCTTTTTCTCTGCTTTGCAAAATGGGTCCATTATTTTTTTTTCATTCTCCTCTGTGCAGATTCAAAAAGCTCTATTTACTCACCCTTCGTGGCAGCTTTGTATAACGAACGTAATCTTCTAAGAAAAGCAAGGCACCCACAACATCAGCGGGCATTTCTGGGACCTTCTGGCTATAGTTAGTTACAAAGACACAACCGTGAGATCTTTCAGAACCAATGAGCATGGCTTTATTTGGAAACCCAATTTGTGACTATAAAAAAGAACTGTAAAGGTGGCTTGATCCCCCTCCCCTCCTCACCACACACACACACACACACACACACACACACACACACACACACCAGGGTGTATATGTATATTTTGAAGCTTGTTTTGTTTTTAAAGGCACTAACAGAATAACTTAAAATGAACCCAGCATGTTGCAGAATAAGGTGGTCTGTGCTTGGATGCGAAAAACCCAGGTTCAACCTGCTGGGTGACTGAAAAAATTGGGGTCACCCAGCCTTGTTGACTTGAAGCACTGAGAAGTCTAAGGGAAGCTCTGCATCCAGTGCAAATCAAGCTATTCTAGCAAAAGGAAATTCTGGGCCCTGAAGCTTGTCTTATGCTCCCTGAACCCACTGCTGCCGGATGATAGAGGTTGTCGTTCACAAGATCTTGGAGCACCAGGTTAGGGAAGGCTGCTTTTCAAGAAGCTGCCATAGAAGATACTCATGGTTATAGATATTACTTAGAAGTTGAAGCACTGCCTGTGTAGAGTTCTGATGACCATCACCTTAAGATGGCTTTAAGTGGGATTAGACCAATACATGGAAGATATGGCTATCCATTGTTACTAGTCCTCATGACTATATGCTGTCTTCAGTACAGGAGACAGTAGGCCTATGTGCACCAATTGCTGGGGTACATGAGTGGGGTGGTTTTATTGCACTCCTATCAGGCTTGGGGGTTTCCCAGAGGAATGTGGCTGCCCACTAACGGAGGCAGGATGCCAGAAAGGAAGCAGCTCTAGCCAAGCATGGTTCTTCGGGGGGGGGGGCAGGGAAGACACTGTTTTTCCCAGCCATGTTCTAGAGGCAGAGTCCACCAGAACAGTAAGTTTGGTAAGCAGTACTGATACCTGAATTATACTGCACCTGGGACCCCGCTCTCCCCTTATCTCTGCAGGGTAACAGCAAATGCCACAGAATTCAAAGAAATCAGGTGGGTTCAAAGGGCAACTGTCTCAGCCCTGCATGAGGGGAAGCAGTCCCTCCACGCATCAAGATTCAGAGTAGGTCCACATCTTGGGAAAACAGATGGTGCTGCCTTTTCTGGATATCTACCTCCACAGCAAAAGTTGTATTTTACTTAATGAGTCATGTCCTAGCCTGGCTGATAGCAGAGTGATACAAGGCCTATTTTCCTGGGCTCCAGTTCTGTCGTCCTGCTGGTAATAAAGGGTGGTGCAGGGAGACGGGAAATTTCTCATTGATGCTCAATGCATGAATGAACACATCACAAAATGCATTTCATGATGAAGTGCATTGTACAGGATATGCAACCGATGGTAATCAATATTCATTCAATATTCGTTTTATGTCTTGAAGATAACATTATGACGGTGCTGCCCATGACAGCCGGTTCTGCAAATTCTGTATTGCTTGACGTAGCATGTCAAGAAGAAAGCCAGCGATTCCAGTCCTCCTTTTTAGTTCAGCAATGGTTGCAGGACACATGCGAGACACTTGGCTTTAAAACAATCGCTGATGCCGCAGGGTAGCCAACTCCTAGTTCCAAAATTCTGTTTGTTAACATATCTGTTAAGGTGCAAATGGGCTTTGTCCGAAATCCACAAGTTGTTAATGAAATTGGCAGCCTCGTTTACTTTAGCCAGCAATCGTTCACAAAACTGTTGATGCAACACGTGGTCCTTGGGTTTGAGTTCCTGCACAATCTGCAGTTTGTAGGGCTGGAACTTCCACTTGCACGCTTCATCACCCCAAATGACACTGTAGGTGTCGAACGAGGTGGCGAGGGCTCCTCGTGATGGCAGCTCAAACAGTCTCAATATTCTCTGGTGTGTGGGCCGTTCGAACACAACCTAGGGACTTCTTCTTCAAGGCTGAACCCATTTCTCTAAATTATGCACCCAAGGTGTGATTGCAGGAGCAGATGGGACACAATCACTGGTAATGAGGCTGAAATTCCCTTTGCACAGCAGTCACACTATCACTGTTCTTATAAAAGGCTTTTACAGCGAATGCTCGTCGCGCACCACTCCACTGCCCCATTAAAACTAATGGAAAGAGGTTCCAAACGATTGCCGAAGCTCCAGGGTCGCCCACTCCTAGTTCCAAAATTTCCCGTTTCCCTGCGCCACCCTGTACTTGAGCCACACAGTCTTCTGAAGGAAGTAGCTCCTTCCACATTTATTTATTGTTTGTTTTGTTTGTTTGGAGTTTTTATACGCTGTCCCATCGCTTAACGCCTCAGGACGGCTTACATAAATAAACATAAATAGACAACATAGTGCCCAATACAAATACAAAAAATACAAATTACACAAATTAAAACCCCTGATTCATTCTGGCTGGAAGTTCAAATAGTTCAAATAGATAATATTAAACGTTGTTAAAATATTGTAGAAATAAAAAGGTCTTAGCCTGGCGCTGAAAAACAAATAACAATGGCGCCAGGCAGACCTCTCTGGGGAGCGCATTTCATAGATGGAATAGATTTTAATGGGCCCTGGATTGCTTATTTTCACTTGTTAAAACTTTTAGAGGTGTGTACGTGTGCTGTTTATGTTTGTGTGTAAAGAGGTTTTATATTATGCATAATATTTTAGTTTTAAGGCTTTTAATCTTTGTAAACTGCCCAGAGAACTATGGCTATTGGACAGCATTGAGAAGTAGTAAATGAAATAAAATGAGCTTCCCATCTGTATAGTAAATATTTGTAAATGTGTTTGAGATGCTTGTACTTTAAGAAGAGCAGAACAATTCAGCTATCCCAAGAGAAGGCGAAGTCATGGCAGTATAACTGCCAATTCCACAATCCTGGTGCAGGAGAGCAGCTGGGAGAGTCTTGGGCCTGGGGGTCGGGGGTGGAATTTTTGAATTGCAAAAATTTAAAACCTTTTACCTCCCTCACAGTTGGTAGGTGTATTCACAAATTGGGAGGACTTCGGATCCTACAGATCCGAATTTGGAATTTCAAAGCGAAATTCTAACAACAAAAGGGTCGTGGTGGCAAACTTTCCAGCTGCTGCACCACTTCAGCTTCTGAAGGGGGACTGTCTCCATCCAGGCATGGACCTGCCCCTCTCTGGATAGAGGTTTTCTGTCACACTCCTGAGGTGTGCTCTTGGGGACTATGGAACTGCTGCCTAAAGGTTCCATTACAAACTATTATAGTTTTCTCAGTTACCTATTGTAGCCAATTTAGCATAGGTCACGTGGAAAAGAGCCTTCAGTGAAGAGAAAGGAAGTGTTTGTATCTTTGGGAACAAATCTTCACTGTGAGAATAGAAGTGTTAATAGTATACAAGAAAGGCCTATTTTCATCAGGAAAGTGTTGAAAGGTTTGTCTTTGCCGAAGAGCCTAAACAGTCCCGTTATGAAGGTCTCAGAATGGTTTACAACAAGCACAAATAAAAATGGCACAGCATCCAGCAATTCACAATAAAATCACAATTAAAACCAATTAAATGTTAAAATAACAGGAGAATAAAAAGGGTTTTGCCTGGTGCCAAAAAGGAAAAAGCGTTAGCGCCAGGCAAACCTCTCTGGGGAGCGTGTTCCACAATCGGGATGCCACTGCAGAGAAGGCCCTCCTCTGGGTAGTCACCCTCTCGATCTCTTTCGAGGAGGGCTCCCGAAGAAGGCCCTCCGCCTCAGATCTCAAGGGGCGGGAGGGCATACAGGGAAGAGCAGGAGTGTAGGAAGACAGCCAAAGATACGTGGCAGGAGTGTGGGAAGAACAAAGAAATGCAACCATCCCATCCTTACAAACACGACTGGGTGGTTCAGAACTAGGTCGTGCCATTCAAGGCATCGTGTGGCTCCTTATGATCACCTGGGCCTGAGGTTTCCTCGCAGCCTGGACTGTGCTTGTGGGAACTGGTGTTATTCATATTTATTGAATGCCGAACTTCACCCAACTGTGGTTTGAAGGCCAGCATGACTGCATTCACATCACAGCTTCTTGAGAACAGTAGATTCAATGTGTTAAGGACAGGCAAAAGAAGCAGAACATGGGGGCCAACATTTACTTAGTTATTACATAATCTCTGCAGTTTGAAAGGAAAATTCATGGGCAAGGAGAAGACTATCCCACTGGAGCAGGCAAACACTGCTTCTTGGGCTCAGAAAGCCATCCCATAATGAGCTTTAACACAGTGCCCTGATACCAAGCCAGTTTGGAGGGAACCAGCCTGGAAGTGGGAGAAGGAAGTTACTACTAATAATAATACTTCTCCCACTTCATCTCCAAGAGTTGAAGATTCCAAACCTAATTTGCATAAGAGACAAAAGTGATTGGATGGCCTAGAAAAATCCTAAATAGACAGACAGACAGACAGACAGAGCCCTTCTTATTGGAACAAGATTCAAAAGCTACTTTGCATATCACAGTGGTGGCGCTACTGTGGAATGACCCCCCAAATCATTTCAGTACCAGGCTAAGATAAGGCCTCTGCACCAAGTCATTTAAAGATGTCTAAAGTTATCTAATGGCTTAAAGAGGACACCCTTGTCTGGTGCTCTGTATTACATACTGTCTTACCTCTTAATTGTTTTAAATGTTTCAAATTTTCTATTAGAGGAAACTGTGTGGTGTTTTAGGGTCTCATGGTCCTGTTAGGAACTGCCCAGAAAGCTTCTGCTATAGGGGTTGTATAGAAGTTAACTAAAATGAATAAATATTGGAACAAGCAGGAGAAATAGGTAACTGAGGGGATTTTCTAAGATTATCTTCCACATCTACTGCAGCACATCCAGGTATGGCTAGGATATGACGTGTTGGTGCCACTGAAGGAGTGTTTCTTATTCATGTACACCTGTAAATCAGGGAATGGCTTTCTCTTGCGTGACAGTCCCTCTCAGCCCCTTGCAAAGAGTCAATACAACCAGGTTAAGCTGCTTGACTGTTTCCTCATGGAATGGCTTCTGCTAACAAGGCAGCTTACAAAAACAGAGGTAGCTGCTGGGCGAAGGAGAAGGAGAAAGTACCTCGTGCTCTGCTCCATCGTTGAACGAATAAACTGGCCAATCAGAGCCAGGAACTGCTCTGTGTATCGCGAGTGAAACTGTTTCAGCAGCGTCAGCAGCCCAAGCACCAGAGGGGGCCAGTCAATAGGATCGGCCGGCTTTTTGCACATCATCCCTGAAGAAAAAGAAGCAAAACAAGAGACAGGCGTTTGCAACCTTCTGAGGGTTGGTGGAGAAGATCAGCCGCCTTGAAGAACGGCTCTGTGGCGGCTTGTGGTTCATGTGCAGTGTAGGGCCAGCGCCAGGGAGCTGGGCTGCCTGACAAGAGCTCCTTGGAGCTGGCCCTCCTCTTTCCCAGTTCACCTGCTGGTTCACCTGCTCCTTCCTCGGCCCAGACAATGGTGGTGGTGAGAAGGTGGAGCAGGAGAAGTTACTGGGGACTCGTTCATGGACTTTCAGGCTGTCAAGCCAGCAAGTAGGAGCCACGAGAAAGAGGAGAAGGCACAAGAACGGTTGCTGACAATGACAATGAGAAGGTAGTGCGGGAGGGGCCCATTGAGGAAGGCTTGCCCCAGGGCCCTCAAAAACCCGGAGCTGGCCCTAGTGAAGTGGCTCACTCTTATGGATTAGGGGTTGGGTAGGGGAAAGGATTTCCAGCACACAAGCCAAACCAGCAGAGACAATTCCCCTCCAGTGCTTGGTGAGAAACTGTACAGAATAGTCTGCTAACTGGATGGTGCAGGTGAGACTTGTTGCCCCATATAATGGGAAAGTTTGAAACTTCCCACATACAAAGTCTTCTGAGTATCTGGTTACGAAACCCTTCAGTTGCACAACTGGTATCCACGGCTGCTTATCACAGAATAGTAATGTTGGAAGGGGCCATGAAGGCCATCAGGTCCAAACCCCTGCTGTTGCAGGACACCAAGTTACGCCATCCCACTCAGATGGCTGTCCAGGTTCTTTCTGAATGTCTCTAGTGTGGGAGAGTCCACCACCTCTTCAGGCAGCTGGTTCCATTGTTGTATTGCTCTGACAGTGAGAACACTTTCCCGATATCTAGCCTGAATCTGGGGTGTGCAAGATATTATTCCATATCTGAGAGCACCAAGATCTTCATCTTCTTCTTTGTGATACCCTTTTAATTAATTAATTATAGCATTTTTATGCCGCCCCCATTGCAGAAAGCCTCGGGGAGGCTTACAAAGCGGAAAATAAGTATAGATATCATGTCCCAACTCTTGTTTTCTCAAGGCTGAACACGCTCAGTTCTCTTACGTAGTCTCTCCTCACAGGGCAGAGTTTCCAAACCCTGGCTCATGTTTGTTAGCAGTCATGTTTGTTTCATAATTTAATTTTCTTGTGATAATTATAATTAGGGTTAGAATTAACATTATAAGTGATTATTAAAAATAAGTTGTGGTAATTGGGATGTCGTCATTAACAAGCTTGTGAAAATTAAGATGAATGCTCTTTGGTAACCAACCACAGTTAAAGCTTTAAGCTAAAAAAGTTATACTATACCTAAGTTTTTACTGTACTGAAGTTTTGGCAACTGAGAAATCAGAAAGAGAAAATTCACAATGGGGAAATACGGCAATCGTTTTGTAGTTATGTAGATCTAGGAAGGAAAACATGATGGAGGGAGAAAGAAAAAGGCGTTTGTTTATAAATTTAGACATAAATTATACTTTATAGACCATCTTATGACTGAAATTCTCTGGACATCTTAAAGAGATTAAAGGCACAATCCTATGCATTTTGAAACAGAACAATTTGTACAGCTATAACATTTCCCAGCAGGAATAGGCAGATCTGATACATCTCTGGATGATTGTGCGGTAGGAAAATCTGGTAGATCTTTGGATGATTTGTAGAAAATCTGCAAGGTTTTCTGCATCGTAATTGCTTAACAATAGCAGCTTTAAAATGCCCCCCACCAATTATGCAGCTGAAATGAAGAAAGCTTGGGGTAATCTGGACTGAAGTACTGCATGGAAGGATTGTGAACCCAGGTCAGTTCTGGTCCTCAGAGAAAATGTGTGGTTTCAGAACATTTATTTCTATGTCTTTTATATCAGGGTGGAACTTTGGGTCCTAGTAAAGATCAAGATGTTTGCCCACCCTTGTAATACAGTATTGTTATTATTAAAAAAATCACTTTAAAATGAGGGAGAGGGAAGCAGAGAAGTTGAGTTTTTGCTGCACTAAATCAATCAAAACAACAGAAGGGAAAAATCTAATAGCCACAGTAGGAAGCCATTGTGTACTAGTCTGCCCTACCATTAGGGAGAGTGAGACAATTGCCCCAGGTGGGAGATGGAAGCAAGGTGTTGGGAAGGGAGATCCATGCGCTTAGGAGCCTCACGTGTGCCCTCTAAGCTTGGCTGCTGCTTTCATGGGCAGTGGAGGATCTTATTTCAGTAAGATTCAACTGACAATCCAGCTGCTTTTCTACATAAAATAGGAAGAGACAGCATCTTGTCTGCTCCTTCAGGCAACAAATGTTGTAGCTCTGTCCTGACAAAGTCCTTGGGAAATGGAAGAACAATGCATTTGGCATCAGGTGGATCTCTCTGGGGAAGGTGCTTCACAACTAAGGGGCCACTACTGAAAAGGACCTTTCCTTTGGGGTCTCACTTGGCAGATGCACTTGAAGAAAGCCCTGAGATGATAAGTAGAAAGATACATTTTATTTGTTCGAATATTTATTTGTTCATATGTTTATATTAAATGCATCCATTATGTTCTAGCCCTGATTTTTTAGTATCTAAGGTCATCCCTAGGACATCTAACGATAACCATGAAACACACAAACCTTTTAAAGTTAAACATATGCAAAGAATTAAAAATACTAAAAGTAATATCACTCAAATTCAGATGCCCAAAATGGTTGAGAATGATAGGATATGGCATTAATGGTACCTTCTAGGAAACACCACTCAATTTAAATTTCTTTTCCTTCGGTCTTTTGTCCTTCCCCTCCATCACAGCTTGCCAGCATATGATGCCTCCTAAGCACATGTAGATCTCATTGGGTTGGGGTTATTTTCTCCAGATATTTTTCCCCAAGGATTTTCCCCAACTCTGCCAATAGTGCTCTTTTGCATTTCTGGGTGGTGCTGTTTCACGCACCTGAAGACCAGCAAAGAACCGAGGTCACTCTTGGTGCATAAAAGAAAAACAGGCTCACCTTATTTAATGGATTATGGATGCCTGCTGCCTCCAGGTAGGCTGTGATCTCATACAGAAGGGTGTTATCTTCTTTAGGACAAGGAAGGGATGGGTCCTGGTAATGAGCCTCAATGTCAGCGAGGATTGCTCTAAAAAGACAACAGCAGAAAAGGAGGTCAACTGCCTACCGTTCCAATTCATAAATCCAGCATCACAACTTTTCAACTTAAAAAAAATGCAAGTTTCTAGTCTCTGTCGCTTGAAACCAGGAGGAAGATGCCTGGTAAAATCTCAGAAGTGGGGAACTGGGGACATGGACAAGGACAGGTTGCCTCCCTCTGTCTTGTTTTTCCATTGGTAGGCAAAGACCTTTCTATTCAAGCTGCCCTTTGCCTTAAACATCTGTTGGGCTGGAAGCTGTTTTTTATTTTCTTCTTGTTGTGTGTTTCACTGCAGTGTAATATATTTGTTTTATTACTGTTTTACATCCATTTTAATTTATATACGACTGTAAGCTGTGCTGAGTGCCATTTTCTTGGTAGAAATCACATCACATCACATCAAATATCAGTCAATAAGTCATAAATTGCTCTAAGTATCATTCAATTGAAATGCAGGATAGAAATCTTGAAAGCAAAAATGAATTCACTCTGGGAAGAACTGGGTCTGGGGGCTGTGGGAGGAAAGGCATTCCACTTTAGCAAACACAAAGCTGGGGAAAGATTTGGGTGAGTGGAGAGGAATTCCACAAATTGGGCACATTTTCCTAACATCTTACCCTAGAAGTTGGTAGGAAGTTATTCCCTAGTCTAATTCAGATCCCCTTTGGAATGGTGATCTCGCTCTTCTTCCCTCGTTTCATCCAAATTGGCAGAGTTGTCTGAACCCTGAAGCTTAGGGCACAATATGACATTTGTTCGAACAGAAAAAAGTCCTACGACTCTTAGCATTGCCATGCTGGCTGGGAAACAGAGGGAGCTGAAGCACTTCCTTCTGTCTCAACATGCATTGCATCATGCGCTTAAAAGTTCACACTTTGCCAAAACAGCAGATCATTGCCTTCAACACCAGGGTGGGATCTAAGTGGATCTTCAAGGAGCTGGATTCTTACTTATTGAGGTTCTCCAGGGCTGCTGCTAAGTGCTTGGAGTCAAATCTGCAGGAAAAGTTAAGCTCATTCGTTATCTGGCGCCTTAAGATCTGCATCTGGCCAACCTGGGGAGGGAGTAAGAAAAACATGCAGTAAGAAAAAATGAAATGAATAAGATGCACAAAGCACCTGTCTTTCTAGAACAGGTGTAATCAAGTGGAAATATGAGTCAGAACTCTAGCCCTATGCACATTTACGTAACACTAAGCCAGCTTTGTTCAAGGAGACTTACTCCCATAGAAGCAGCCCAGGTCCTTCTCACCGAAATTGCAATGGGAACTGGAACCAAGAGGTGAATAATCGAGAGAGCGCCTTTGCGCCCAATCGAGTTCTGCAGAGCATCAGTGAGACTTTGTGGCAGCAGGAGATCTCTGCTACTCTGGCTCCTGCACTGATGTGACCTCTGCCTTCCAGGTGCAGTTCGAGATTCTGCTTTTGACCTTCCAAGTCCTGAAGAGCTCAAGCGTGTGCTACCCTACCAGTTCAGGGCATCGCCTCCCGTGGCAGACGTCAATCTCAGGTTGCGATGCCGATGGTGGTGGAAGCCGAGGGACATGCGGGAGAAGTGCCCCTGGCCGCTCTATCTCCAGCGGCTGTGGAGGCATGAGCAAGAGGCCTTCTTTGGCCCACAGTGCCGGAGGGGCTACCATAACAGGAGCCACGTGATGTGTGGCTGAGAACTCAGGGCGAGGACCAGGCTGCGAATCAACCACCAGGCACAAAGCTTGCCAGGTGAGCTTCGGCCAATTATCCCTGCTCAGCCCAAGCCACCTCACGGGGCTGTTGCGACAAGATGGGTTTGAGGGAAAGCACATCTGCTGCCTTGAAAAAAAGACGCATCTTTTAAAAAAATGTAGTAACAGCTACCTTTAAAATGAGAGGCCCTGTCTTAGAATTATTATGCTTTTGTGCTGTAAAGTATACTCTGCATGCTTTATGAGAAGGGCAGAGTATGATAAATTGATGGAGTGGGCGACGGGCCTAACTTTTAGGGAGCTTTAACCCTTAATTCTCCATCTGCATGGACTGCACATGACATTAACACAAATTGAAGTGGAGAGGCATGCAGTGAGAAATGCAGTGAGAAACGCTGCTCGTATTGAGCACATCCCATGACTTCTAGCCTGGTGAGCTGAAGCAAAATTCAGTCGTGCTTGGCGCAGTTCCACTGAAATGAGTGGAACTTAACTTTGTCATGACCAACCATGTCCTAGTGATTCATGCTCTATGCAATATTCAAGTCTAGAACCAACCCATATGTTCAAAGCCGATCTAACATTGGGGACATTACAAGTGCCCATAGGAACACCTATTCCAAAGAGAGTTATGATGAAAGTACCTTCATAATTGCATCCAGGTAAGCAGCCCAGATCTTCTGGGTTTTGGCAACTGCTGAAGAATACACCTTGCCACAGTTGGCTGGAACCAAGAAAAGCATAGAAAGAGATGGTAGGACATCAACATTTTTAGTAAAAACGAACCCTTAGGAGTTAAGAGGGTTTTTCTCTCTGCATGGCAATAACCCCCATGGATGCACACTTTAATGGGGTGAGGGGGTGTGGGAGGGTCTGAGAAGCTGAGAATAAAGCTGCCAAGAGGCCAGAGATAGTCGCTCTAGGAGGTCTCCTAGCAGGGTCACCCAAGTCCAAATGGCCAAGGCTGAGACACCAGACTAGGATGCACCCACTTTGTTCAGGAGTAATGGGCACATCAGTTGAAGAGAATGGGCACTTCTAATGCTGATGGGGCAAAAAACACCCCCAGGGGGCAGTTACTGGGCAGCAGCAGTGGTTGAAGTTGACACTGGAGGAAGGTCTTTCACAGGCTATGGCAGTGATGCTCAAGCTAGCTCTGGTGCATTTGGAAAAAGTATGTACACCATTGTGGCTGAAGACAAGAAGCGCGAGACATTTCTGCTTCTTGTCACTTCTGCATCTCATGGTATGACCAAATGTCTCTAAAATGCGTGTGCATGTGTGTGTATGTGTGTGGGGGGGGTCACTCTAATTTTAGATGCCTTCTGCCAGTGTTCAGTGTCCTAGAAAGAGCAAAGTGTCCCTCTGGCTACAACCTATCAAGCAGGGCAGGAAAGTGGCAAGAGAAGAGGGCAGCTGGCAGAGAAAAGACACGGCTTGGAGCTACAGCGGCACTCGTGGGCCTTCCGCCCTTCCCACAGCCTGCAGCAGATTACCCTGGGCATGGGCCTTGATGGCACCATCTTTATTTTCCATGTCCCATGGTTTCAGCATTTCCTCGCATAAGTGCTTGCAACCCATTGCCAAATTCCTCTGAATCAAACTTCCTTTTGAACCGGAAACCATGGCTGAAAGGATCTTACCCACAATTCCTTTCAGAGGGCAGACTGTCTTCATGAGAGATTTCAGTGCCTCATGTACGCCCTTATCACGCAGCACCATTTTCAGAAACATGCTGAGGAAATTCTAAACAAACAGCACACACACAAAGGAAGTCTAAATACATGATCGGCAATGTTCCTTAGAATAGTCTACGGCTTTAGTCCTTGGTCAGGAAATACCTGCCGGAAAGGTTTTCAGCAAAGGCTGAAAACCAAGTAATTTAGAAATATGCCTGATCTCAATTGGAAAGACTTTTTGTAAGGTGGGAGGCAGCACATTAAAGGGTCTAATTCAGGTAGTTTTTAAGTTGCTCTATTACTCATGTGGTACCACCAGATGTACCTTTTCATGAAGTTTAACTCCCTCATATCTTATGTTTTACTCGTGTGACATAGCAGTATCACAGTCAACTATCAGGAGCTGCTCAGGACAGTATTTTCATTTACAGTAACTTAAACAGCATGCTTCAAAAGAGTAGATAAATTTATAAAGGACAGGAGTGGTCTTTTCTTTACATACAGCTTATATCACCAAATTCTGGGATTTTTTTTGCATCCCAAGCTATTGTTTGTCTTATGACTGGTTTGGCCCTGGATGGTTATGAGCAGAAATGCATGGAAATTCATAGTTTGTTTAAAAAACATACAAATGTATCTTGTTCACCAATGCAAACCTAAGCAGGAAAACAAAGAAAATGTTTGTAAATTCTCAAAGATATACTTGCCTTTGAAAAATATGCAGATTTTATCAAAAAAAGGAAATTGTACATTGTAAAAAATGCAGGCCTAGGAGAAGACATTTGTGCAACTTTGGGAAAAATCACATAATTTTTGTGTTTGATGTCTTTTGCTTTGTGAAATTCTCCTATTTGCATGAATTGAACAGCAATGACAAATGTGAGTATCAATTGAATAGATATTTGAGCTGATATCTGAGCTCACCAAACTTCTTGGAACATCTTTTGTTGGCACATCCTAATGATCAAGAACTAGTTACCTGCAGTTCTTTCACAATCATGAAGCAGAGAAGCCTGTCCAAACCATTCAGGCCAAAGGTGCCCAGAGTGTTCTGGATCTCAGAAAACAGGCGACTGTTGGACACTTCCTGATGGCTTCGCATGTCATACCAGGTGTTCAGCTGGTCGATGTAACAGGCAACTCTGATGGGACAGAAGAGGGAAAAAGGACAGCAGGCACATTGCAAAAATTAAGGAAATTTCTTCGTCGTGGCCTCTGTGCATCACACATACGGGTGCGCAGTGCCTAGGCCGGAAGATTAAAAAGCTAACGGTTTTTTCCTTTTTGGCGGGAAAACTCCGCTCCCTGCCCCCCCAGTGGTATAAATAGAGTGGCGTGTCCGCCATTTTACTCAGTCTTTGTGACCGCCGTTCGCTGTGCTTGTTAACGTCCCTCGCAAAATTAGTTGCATATGATACATCTATAAGGGAGGGGCCCCAGTTTAAAACGGGAGCAGAACAAGAGGTAAGAAGGGATACTAAATATAATTAAAAATTAGAGCAGATTCTGCCCCCAAAATTATGTAAGGTAATACAAAGGCCGAGACAAAACACATTCGCACACTTACACGGAATGTGTTCTTTCGCAAAGCAAACAAAAAACCATAAAGTTCACATATTCCTCATTTCAGCCTCACTTGGGAAATCTGTGGAATGGGGCAAATAGGTTCACAATTCAGCGTAAGCATAGAAGCACTTGTCTTCACTTTGATTTGGTTTCTTGATGGCAATTGATCTGAGTCACATTATAATATCGTTATAGTAACTGTTAGATCCCACATTTTCTGGGGTTATTTCAGGGATAAACTTAAATAATAGTGTGACATAACAGTATCACAGTCAACTATCAGGAGCTGCTCAGGACAGTATTTTCATTTACAGTAACTTAAACAGCATGCTTCAAAAGAGTAGATAAATTTATAAAGGACAGGAGTGGTCTTTTCATACAGCAAAGATGCAGCAAACAAGCTGTGGAAATGGTGAGGGAGGAACCTTCACGAAACGTTTGTGACAAAATCCCATCTCTTGCCTCCTAAATTTCTGTGAGTAAATATCTGACACAGACTTCGTCACCACGCACTCATGCAAACCATTTTTTTTAAATAACATGAAGGAGACCGTGCAGGTCACATGCAATGCTTACTTTGGGTCTGTGATTCTCAGAATCTCTCGGCAGAGCCGACCAATAAATGTGACTGATTCATCCACTGGTACAAATTTTGGTATTGGGATATGGGTGGACTGGTAAATGCTTTGCCAGTCTTGAATCTGAAAAACATAGTTTTGAAGTAATTCTGAGTTCCACCTTCAACTAAACACACATTTTTGCTGTTACATTTGAACACCGTGTCGTCTTTGAGCATGTCTCCTCCAACTGCTATCTTTGTGCAATGCTCGCTCCAGGGTTTGAGGAGTCCTTGAGCAAAGCACCCATAAGTTGCCACCCCCCCCAGAAAAAATGGGGCATGCAGTCCATCACAGGAGGCGCAGAAATTCTTTCCATCCGAGTATCTTGTACCTTCGTCCTTAAGAAGTTATTGCACTCCTGCTCCACGTTGTAATTGATGATGCGAGACACTTCTTCCTGCCAGATCTTTAAGCCATAAATATTGACGTAATCCTGGATGTATTCAAAGGAACGGTGGAACCCATCCATGGTGGCTGCCATGTCTTTCAGCCTGGGCATGAGTTCACTGGGCTGTAGAAACAGGGCACAGTAAAAATGCCACCCCAGGGACATTCAGTCTTTGCTGGTTAATCTCTTTCTGGCCTGTAATGTTCTATACTTACCTGCTTTAGAAAATAAACCAAAAGCTCCCTATTCAAAGACAGGGACATTTTTGTAAAGTGTGTAATCTGTTCTGAGTTAAGAAGAGAGTTTTATTTTCAAAAGAAAATACAGTAAAACCTTGGATTGCGAGTAACTTGGTCTGCGAGTGTTTTGCCAGACGAACAAAAAGTTTTTCTAAATTTTAACTTGATAAACGAGCGATGTCTTGCAGTACAAGTATTATGTGGGCTTTGCCTGCTGAGTTTCATGTCACAACTGAGCACTGGTTCTTCTCTCTCTCACTGCGGGTGTGAGTACAGCTTCGTCTCCCCCCCAGCACGCCCACGATTGTGCCCACCTCCCTCCCAAGCATGCCCACGATCGCGCCTGTCCCTCCCCCAGTGCGCCCGCGATCGCGCCCGTCTCCCCAACCCCCAAGTGCGCCCACTTCAAATTTTTGTGATTTAAAAAAAAGGTTACAGATTGGATTAACCTTATTTACATCGAATCTTATGGGGAAATTCGCTTTGGTATACAAGTGCTTTGGATTACAAGCATGTGTCCGGAATGAATTATGCTTGCAATCCAAGGTTTTACTGTATAAGCAAACAAAGGAAAGGAAAGCAACCTGCGGGTTTTAGCCTAACTGTGCTCACAGCTAGCTTAGCCAGGGTGGGTGTAAGAAGGAAAGGGAAGTTGGGAAAGCATGGGAGACTTGCTGGACACCTTTGCCCTGGGGTTGAAGGTCAGTCCTCGGTGCAGGGCCAGGGCCACCCGCTTTACCAGCTCTTTCCTTATTCCATCTTCCAGCAGCTGCTTTGGGTCCACCTAGAGAGGTAGAAAGAGAGAAATCAGACATAAACACAGTCCTCTTTACCCATGTGAATGCACAGGTGGTTGTAGAATCGGATGAGTTCTATGGTTTCGTTTCTGCTTTTGTTACAAAAAATTATTCCCTGAGGGTTGGGAAAGAACGGCAGAGCTCTGCACCCCAGGCTTCCTCCCTGAACATTCATTTTGCTCACTTCATTTCTCAGCCTCTGCTTGCGCTTAGCAGGTGCCAAAGGAAGGTTGGCTTTGGAAGACGTTGGTTTTTGGGGGTGACCTTTCATTATATGATATCTCACACCTGCTATGACAACTTTAAAACCTAGGTTGACTGGAAAGAATATTATTGTCATCACTACTAAATTTATATCCCCATTTTCCTCTTGAAAGGAACCCAAGGCAGCTCACATAATTCTCCTCTTCTCCATTTTCTCTTCGCAACGACCTTGTGAGGTAGTCAGTGACTGGCCCCATTTTGCCCAGTAAGCTTCATGGCAGAGCGGGGATCACAATCCAGGCGTCCCACATCCCTGTCCAACACTCCAGGCGCTACACTACACTGGCTCTCAGTGTGCATTCGGTGACCTCTGCCATGCTTTTCGTCTTGCAGGGTCCACATTCACAAGCAACGCCATCCTAGCTGAAGGCAGCCATCCTGGGCATAGGAACACAGACACCACAAGTATGTGGAATGTGCTTCTATGTAAATAAACTTAGGATAGAAAAGGCCCATAACTTAGCGGGGGGCACAGAACTTGTCTGTACAAGGCCCAGGCTGAATCCTTTGCATACCAGATTTAAAACAGGGGTGCAGAACTGCAGACTTCAGGAAGGCTCTCGCCCACATGGGGGGCATAAGGAGGTCCTCTGGGTGATGTCCCCTCCCCTGTCTCCACTCCCTATCACCTGACCATCTCTTGTCTGGAAATGGTCCTGGTTTTGAGGCCAAGAGGCGGCTGCTGTTAAAGCAGACAAGCAGCAAGCCCCTCAGGAAGCAGAGTCGGTATTTCTTCACCGAGTTGCCTGCAGAGGGTGGGGGTGGGACGAGTTTGTTGGTTTTTCAACCTGCAACGAACATTACCTTGATGATCCCAACCAATGTTGTTTTCATCATCAGGATGCCTTCTGTGAAAATTGAGATGGCGTGCGTAAGCTTAGCAACCTATGGAAACAGAAAAAGGGGCCAGGCGTTAAAAAGGAAACAGCAGGGATTAGGTGACGGGATGGAGAGAAAGGACATCCTTGGCAAGGGAGTCTCTCTCATTATTTCTTTTAATCTCTGCTTGTATTTATATTATGTGGCTCAGGTGATGTTCCATAGCAGAGGGTCACCAAATTTCTATGCTGGGTGCTTTGCACCTGGGATTGCAAAGGGGGCTTCTGATCACTGGAATGGCTACAGTGTGCAGATTGGGCTCAGATGTCTGCCCAGGGAAGGGCTCTGTTAGCAGCGAGCCACCAGCAGCTGCTTGCAAAAGAGGACCGTTTCTGTCCCGCACACTGTGCTAGCTCCAGGGTTTGGAAGCCCTCAAGCAAGGCACCTATAGTTTATTTATTGTATTTTTTATTATTATTATTATTATTATTATTATTATTATTATTATTATTATATCCTGCCTGTTTCCCTTTAAAGGACTCAAAGTGGTTTACATCACTCTCCTCCTCCTGCTCTCAATTTTACCCCACAACAACCCTGTGAGGTAGGTTGGGCTGAGAGGCTGTGCCTGGCCCAAAGTCACCCAGATGGCTCCATGGCTGAGCAGGGACTAGAACTCAGACTGCCTGAGTCCTGTTTCGACGCTCTTAACCACTACACCACATTGGCTCCTAGCTGACCCCCTTTGGAAGAAACGGGGCATGCCTTCCACCCAGGGGCTGCAGAACCCCTCCGGCCTGAACACCTTGCCTTCAGTCACTGCACTCCAGTCACACTGTAATAGGGAAGGCGTGACACTTCTTTCAGCCAGATCTTTAAGGCACAAATATCAGCATAATCCAGGACGCACCCAGGAACCAGCTGCTGGGGAGTGACAATGGAAGGTGCCTTTGTGTCCTGCTCGTCTTGGGCAGTGGAGACAAAATGCTAGACTCCAGATCTGATCAAGCAGGGCTTGTTTTATATTCTGGAGGTGCTAAGGCAGCCCTGCTCCATCTGGGGCCTTCCAGAGTTGTTGGCTGCAAACCTGCAACCCCCGATCATCAAGGCAAGTAGCCCAGCTCCTCTGCAGGACTGTTGATTCAGGGAGACTGTGCTAATTCATCTCTGTCTTCACCATTATTCCAGGACTGTTTGATCTGAGGGCACTTACTGCAGATCTATACTGCCCAATAGCCCAAGCTCTCTGGGAGGCTTGCCAAGATGAAGACCCTAAAAATACTGAACGGTAACACAAAATTAAGTCATGCAGAGTCTAGCATATAAAACCAGGAAGAGTCAGGAAAACAAATCCAGGTCCAAGATGCACCTCGTATCGTGGCACAAGCTGGGCGTAGTCTCGCAGCTTGTCCTTGTCCAGACGGGTGGGCACTTCAATGATATCGTGGGTCTGCAGCTTTATAATCTTAAGGAGGGATGTAAACATGCTTTCTGGAATGATCTGCAAAACCTTTTATAAAGTGACAAGCAGGCACACAAAGGGAGAAAGAGAACAATGCAGGGTTAACAAATGATGGATCTCTTGAAGGACTCGTAAAAGAAAAGTTAGAATGGGATTACCAGGTAGATCCTACCTTTCTTACATAGGAAACCAGTTCTCCAGAATAATACTGCGATACACTGAGAAGGTCAGGGCTGTTTGCTTGATTGATACGAAGCAGTGGCATATCAAGGGCCGAAGCCAACTAGAACCAGAATGCATAACGGTTTAGGGTGCTATATGAGAAGGACTAGAAAAACAGAAAGGGCCTTGGGCCACATCCTCATAGTCATTGCCCAAAGAATTACATATTGTTATAACTAGCATTGCTGGTAGCATAATTGATATCATTTGTATATGGCCTTCTTTGATTCCACGAGTGCAATTCTTTAAATGTTATGTTTTCCTTCCACATGGACCTCTGGGAAAAAAACTTGGCAGAACTGCCAAGTTATACTTGGAAAATAACCCAAAGGAAAAGGCACTGGTTTGTGGGAAACTTGGAAGTTAATCTGCGCTCTATATCTGGTCTGGAATGGGCTGGAAACTACTGCAGGGGTCTAAAGACTCAGGCCCAGAAGCTTTTCCGAAGGGGGGCGAGAGCTCAGGAGACTCCACCCTTTCCCCAGCCACAAATCTTTTTGTAGTTTCCCAGCATTTATGCAGCCCTCCAAAAGGCTGGCATGCTTCTAATGCTTCAGTTCCAGGAGTAAAAACTTTAAGTTACCACATGCAGTCGTATTTCGCATTTTTGCTCCCACCGATTTGCCCTTGCTCTCTCCCACCCCTGGAATGCACCCCGTGAGAGCCTCTCTGGCTAGGACTTCAGCTCCTGGGGTGAAAGACCCCCCTGACTAAGGTCTGCCTTGTAGCTCCTGTGCACAGAATCGCAGGACATCGGGGTGCTGGGGGCTGAAATGAATTCATCTGGGACTGGGTGAAGCTCCAGAGGAACTTGGGCTTCATCTAAAACTGGTGGGCTTTCTGGAGGAGAAAATAAGATTGAAAATCTTTTTCTGGGATTTGATTATGATTAAAGGAAGAGCTCCATGGAGTGTAATGAAATCAGCCTTATTAAGGTATCTTCTTAGCTCCAAAGGGATATGTTGGCATCATGTAGGAACACATGCGCTGGATGCCATAGGAATATTTTGCATGCATGGGGGTTTCTATTGAAGATCTCTTTTCCTACGCACCTTTAAAAATGTGGCTCTCAGCTTGGTTACCATAGATGGATTAAACCGTATGCTTTCCTGCATGATGAATGTGAAACTGCAAGAAAAGGAAAGGAAGGAAAAGTGAGTGGAACCAAGCTTCTAAACCTAATTCTAGAAGCCTGTTGCAATGGCTGTACTACCTCCAGACTGCAGGTGGGGTGTTGGCCACATACATTTTTAAAATTGTTCTGTGATCATCCAATTTACTGTTACATGTCTTAAACTTGTTCTCTACTTGTTCACCACCCAGAGAGCCCTGTGGGCTATGGAATGGTATACAGATGTAATAAATAAATGGGTAGGTTCCCGCCACGGGAAGCATTCCATCAGACACACAATGGCAGGTCTTCTGTTCCTGCTTACTTAACAGAACTGTACTTCCAGATGTTGCTACTCCCTGTGCAACATCTGGCTTCTCTCTGGCTTCCTTCTTTGGGGTCTATGTCTATTCTGATTGTTGGCTTCCTTCACTTCAGCCTCCTTGTTCCACTTCCCTCTTGTATGTCTCCTCCATTTACATTCCTCTAGGATTCTGGACTGCTTTTTCAAGAAGTATTCATTTCACTTTTATTTTTAAATAAAATTTAAAGCATGCAGATACTACATTTCATATGTTGGAGTTCTGCGACCCTGCTTTATACACAGTGTGTATAAACATGATCAAGCATGATTCTGAATCAGTGGCAGGCAGAAAGTAGATCTCCAAATATTTCAGACGATTCCCAGCATTCTTGGGAGCTGTCCAAGATGCTTGCCCACCTACTTTCTGCATCCGCAGCCTTTTAGGTTTACTGACAGTGGAATTTAAAGAGGACTGTTGACTCAAGGTCATGTGTCTGGATATAACTGCTCCCTAGAGCTATTGAGAATTGGGAGTAGGGAAAACGATGGCAGAGTAGGATGAATCCAGACAGATCCTTTCCACAACAGAAGTCCTCTGTGGAAGTTGCAACAATAAACCAAGGTAATACCTGTGGAAACCTACCTGTCAATTAGCTGCCAGGCATATGAAAGGTCACCAACTATCTGCATGGTGATGAGAACCTCTTCCTTAATGTTGATGGTGCGGATCATCTGATGCAGAAATTTACGGGTATCAGCAAGAAACTGGCAGACCTGCAGGTTGGATTCCAACTGGTGAAATTCTTGTACCTTTTAAAGGAATAAGGCAGAGAGAGAGAGAGAGAGAGAGGAGAGAGAGCAATTTTAAATCTCAGATATTTAAAGAAATTCTAATTATATGACATTCCATAACAATCACTGAACATGAGCACATACTCAGCCTTGCTGAGAATCCTTTTTCAAGGAAGCCTGAACCACTTTCCGCCCAAGTGCCCAACTCTGTTTTGGAGATGCACCCGGGGCCACATTCCAATGGTGGGCGGAGCCTATGGAAAAGGGACAGGGCCAAAAGTGCCAGCATATCTTAGCTGAAAGGTCTTGCTGCCAGTAACTAAGCCTCAAAAAGAGATATGCCAACCTTTCAGAACAGAAAAAATGCACCAAGGCCAGGAAACCACCAAATGATCCTCAGTCAGGGTGAAAAGGGTATGTCTATCCAGGAAACCGGTGGGGGGGGCAGATTTGCTATTTGGGCCTGAGGGTGTGCACCACTTGGCTGATTCTCCTATCCACATACACACCGTGCAGCACGTACTTTGTGGGTCATTTGTATATTGCGCAGAACAAGAATCTCCTTTGACATGGATTCAATAATAAACCTGCCGCAAGCCAGACCATAATAATCTGGGAAAGCTAGCTGGTGAATGGACATTGATCTATGAAGATCTGTCTTTCTGTGTTTATTCAACTACCACGATAATTAATAACAATAATGAAGCATCCTTTCTCTTCTTCCTTAAATCCATTTGCAATGCAACAACAAAAGCAAACATTAACAAGGAAAAGCTTCCTATCATAAAGTGTATCCACGCACAGGGATCAAACATCTCTGAGAATGTGGCGATGAACATGCTCTTGATGTTCTCGGACTTGGCATGGCCAGTGTGGCCTGGTGGTGCACGTGTCGGACTGGGGACCCGGGAGGTCCAGGTTCTAGTCCCATGCGGCCATGAATCTCACTGGGTGACTTTGGGCCAGCTACTCACCCTCAGCCTGACCTACCTCAAAGGTACTACCGGGCTATGTAAGTGTCCTTGGATTCTTCACAAGAGGAAAAAAGGAGGGGTACAAGTGCATCGTAATAATAACACTCAAAATAGCTGTAGCTCTTTTGTATTTGGGTAGTCAGGAGACATTTTCTGACGGAAGGACAAGGACATTCCTCAGCCTCACCTCTTCCAGGGCTTGTATAAGTTGCACAGTTTTCCTGCCAGCCGCGGTGGAGTCATCATAATCCAGAGACATTATTTGTTTGGCGATTTCTCTGAACCAGGCCTGCAGGTTTTCTGTTTTGAGGAGGAAAAGTGCCATTTAAGTTAATCTCATAGACACTGATTCATCCATTTGTGTGGATGATGATTTGGAAGGATGCTTCAGGGTCGGGGTGTGTTGTTTTTGCAGGCTAGGCCAGGTGCCTTTGGGCTCAAAAGAGCCTTCAATCAATACTAAGGTCGTTTTTATAGCAGTTCTCTCCTAGCACACTGGGGTGGGGTGAGCTGCAGAGGGAGACAGAGATCTAATGCATATCTCTGAATCATTTGCAGTCATTGGCAAGGGATTCTGACTCCCCATCACTTAATGGCACTATATTGCTCTTGGCCTCAGCAGGCACTTTGCTTGTAAAATATGAGTCCTAATGAGTTGCCTTTGGCTAGAGATTTCCAGGCACAGAGTTCTGCTTCAGAATCTCTGATCTGTGATAACTTGAGTATACTTTTACCAAGTGTTTGTCTCGTGATATATGCTTCTTCCCTGAGCCACAGTTTTGCACCAAGCTTCATCTGACTATTATGCACCTTAATCTGGTTGTTGGATCTTGGGGCTCTCATTAAAACAAGCAAATCTTGCAAGCATAAAGTCTGCCCACTTTCTCATTATACGCACACTATGCAAAACAGACATGGAAATCTTTGAAAGACCTGAAAAATGCAGTGACAAATCCTTTGTTTGACATGCAGAAGATTTCACATCTCTCCCAATTAGATGTAGCGAACCTTGGAAAGCCATCAGCCCTACACACACACACACACACACACAGACACAGGGGATGCACAGTCCGGGCTGGATGGAATCCAAACCTGGCCCAACATAAAGCAGGCCATCACAACCATATTTCTGCAAAACAAGAATGAGAACACACGAACAACCAGAACTGGAGTATTGTTCCATTTCAGCCTACCATTTTTCTCCACTCTTGTTAGAGGCTTAACACCGGAAAAGACATCTGCCAGTTCAGCCATCCTTTCTGACCCTTCCTTTTTGTAGCTTTCCCATTTTGCTTGCTTTTCTGAAAGCATCTGCTTGAACATCTATGAGAAAAGCAGGATTTTCTCACTTTAAAAGAGTGCAAATTTGAAATTACAGCAATATCCACACTGTACTTCAGTATGGAATGATCTACAGCAGGAATCTCTGCTATACTTTCAAGTGATTCCCTAATCGATGCTGTAAGCAGAAGAAAATGCTAAGGAACTGCAGGTTCCTAAATTTCTACCAACAATCAAGGAAACAAGTTACTTTTTCAACTGTGTACATGGACCAAGGCAAAATTCCAAAGAAATCCTCTGTCTTGTGTGAATATACATATTTCAGGGGGAACAAAAACGTCACTGTACCTCTTTCAAGATGAATTCAAACTGGGCTGTATCCAGGAGAAGCTGGAAAAGGATCTTGGGATTGTACCTCGAATCTGCTATAACTTGGTCCTTTATTTGGCGGAGACGCTTAATATTTGGATCATAAGCTAGGGAAAAAGGGGGAAAAACAAATGTTTTCTTAAAGTGAGAGAGGCACAGAATGCATCATCAACCATTACTGTGAAGGAACACATGCTTGGTGGATGTGACCCAAAGCACCATCAAATTTAGCCTCTGTTCTGCAACACTGGCAAACTGGAGGTCTTTCAGGAAACTCAAAAGCAGGATATGGAGGGTGTGGATTTCTCCTGTTGCTCACCTCAAATGTCAGGGCAGGATAAGGAGAAAAATCTTCTCTCTAAAGAGCATTTCAAGAGAAAAGTCCAGAAATGCTCCTGGCCTCATGATCCAAAACTGTATATAGGATAGTATATCTGCTCAGCGGTTAATATCTCCCTATTTAAGAAAAGTGTTTAAAACAAAACAATCCTCCTTATCATAATTCTTCTGTATTCATCCTGTTTTTGAGCTCTAGGGTTTGCTATATTTTATAATGATTTTGACTGCTGTTGCCTTTAAAATGCTTTCATTTTCCTCTTATATGTTGATATTTATTATTTCAGATTTAGGTCTTGGTCCTATGTTGGGAGAACACTGGGAGCTGTAGGATCTTTTTGTGTCTAAATAGGCACAGGACTGACTTGTGTTAGTTGCAACTAGTTGTCAGGAGAGAACCAGGGTGGAATGGTAGTTAGACTGCTGGCATGGAGACTGAGGGAATCCGGGTTCGAGTCCCCCCTTGGCCATGAAGCTCATTGTGTGATTTTGGGCCAGTCACTCACTCTGAGCCTATCCTACCTCACAGGGCCATTGTTGGGAGCATACAATGGAAGGAAGGAGGTCTATGTAAGTTGTTCCGGGTTCTGTGCAAGAGGAAGCAAGCAGCATATAAATGCAGTTTAACAACTGCTTATGTGCTCTTGATTTCAGGGGTTCTGCTCCAAGAATGACTAACGGTGCAATATGCATGTTTTGCTAGGAAAAAGGTTCACAACTCCCCACTTAGGATGGTGGCTGGGGCATGCTGGGATTTGTGGGCCCTTTTTCTGACTAAACACACCCAGGACTGTGCTGCAATTCTGGGACCAACCCAGTGTGTTATGCTCTACTATTCCCTGAAAACGTCTTTGGGCTATGAGGAAAAGTAGGGGGCACAAATTTTATTTATTTATTATATTTTATTTATATCCTGCCCTTTTCTGTTAATGAAAAAGAGGCTTGCATCATTCTCCTTTGCTTATCCCAACAACAGCTCTGTGAGGTAGGTTGGGCTGAGAGCCTTTGATGGGCCCAGGGTCACCCAGTTGGCTCACAGCTGAGCGGGAATTAGAACTCACATCACCTGAGCCCTGGTCCCACTGGCTCTCTTGTGATGCTTTTAACCCCAAAGCAAAACATTACCCGAGTCAGCAGTATGAAGCATCAGCCACCGGATGGCGACATTACAGTCCCGCAAGCAGTTCAGCAGTTTGGGAATGTTGTCCAGCACCAGCTCCTCTCTCAAGAAGCCTTCCTTAAGAAACTGCTGCACCTGGGAGTGAACCCGCTCTGTGACGGCGGCACACCTGCTGGCCTGCAAGACAGACGCCGGTGCGTTAGTGCAAGAGGGAAGGCACCCCGGATGCAAGAGCCTGCACGGCGCCGGTCACAAGCAGCGGGGAGGCTCCCGATGCAACCCCAACCGAAATACTGGACTGCATCCACTGAGTACTCACTGAAGCGGAGGCGACTTAAGTCAGGGGAACACTGGACGCCACCCTTCCAATTCAATTCTGTGCAGGCAAGGGTGTTACGCTCTGGTTTGTAAGAGCACCAGCCCTGGCCCTGCACGGAAGAACCTCAGGCCGAGTCAGATCATGAGCCCATCTAGCTCAGTACTGTTGACAAGACTGGCAGAGGCTCTCCAAGGGTTCCGGCAGGCAGTTTTCCAGTCTTACCTGGAGATCCCAAGGGTTGAATCTGGGACCTTCTGGCTGCAGGGAGGAGTTTTGCCCCTGGGCCAGAACACCATCACTGTGATAGCTCCCTCACTCGGGATGTCATTGCTGCTCTATGGTGAAGATTCAAGAGCCCATCATTTGCTCATATTGCCTTCCGTGTTAAGGATGGGAAATAAACATGCGACTGGCTTGCCTGGAGCTTTGCATGGTCTCTGCAACATGCATGGTGAGCTGCCTAGAACAGTCATTCCAGCAAGCTATACATAGGGAGATCAGAGGGAAAGAAGGATCCTTTCTTCAGCCAGGCTGGAAGATCACTTGCTTTATTCCTCTTCCCTCCCCATTCCTTTTCCTCATGTGCCATGCCATTTAGATTGTAGGCCTGCAGAGGGACCATCATGCTCAACGGATGGCATGTAAGCAGCAATTTTATACAAGTCCATTACCAGCTGGGAAAGGACAGGTGTTGCAGGACTTTTTTTCTGTCTAAACATGCATGGATTGCACCTTAAATAAATAATAATTAAACTACCTGATCCATGGTCTACATGAGGGTTATACATTTCTTCCTACTTGAGATCCTACTTTGTATGAGTGCTCATGTGAATTTTGGAAAGAACATTTGCCTACTTGCTCCTTGACATTGGAAACGTCCAGCGTGTTGTTCAGAGCAGTTCTTGCGGCTTTGTAAGGTTCCCAGGCTTCAGCCAAATTCACAGAGATCCCCATATAAATGCCAATAACCTAGGAAGGAGGCAGAAGCAACATTTTTGTCAAACCCACCCTGAAGTATTTGGAGGGGAACAGCTTGGAATAAGCTGCTATAATCTAAGGTGGGACTCATTATCATCTACCCACAATTCTTTTAGAGGCAAACTCCCAGGTAAGCTGAGACTTAACAGAGGAAGAGGCTGAAACCAAGAAAAAGCAGAGGCCAGCTTGAAGCTCACATATCACACAACTGAAAATAAAATACACTGGCCTTCAATGGTACGCCCCTCCCAAACAGAGCAACGTCAGTACCCAAGAAATCTCTTTAGGAAGAGAATGCCACCAAAAGGTCACATCATGTGTCAGCACCCATCTCAAAGGATGGGGGCACCCAAAGAGGATGGGGGTAGCTTGCTAGGGTACAAGCAAGACGACTGGTATGCAAAGCCTTAGTCACAGAAAGCAAGAAAAGGAGAAATTGTTTCCTGACTCATTCAAAGAACAAATAGGAGATGAGGAGAATCTGATAGATGTTACAGCTAGAATTAATTAAAACGATTTATAAAATGACGACTACAAATGCACAACAAAGACATTTGCGGTCATATAAAACTTTATACAAAGTGGGATGAATTACTTCAAAGAAACAGTCATATATAATAAGAGTACAAAAATACTGTGAGACTATTAAAATACACCAACGTAAGACAATAATAATGGTCTCTTAGAAAAATTATATGCTAGTTGACAAGTGTGTTAAAACTACCAAGTTTTCAGTGGCAAATTTTCAGGCCAATTCATAAAACATCCTGTTTCTGCCACAGCATGGATCCAGGAAGCCCAATATCAGGCTTATAAATTATGGGGAATACTTTAAAAATGATTTAGGGTACATTCCTATGCATGATTAGACACAAAAAGTCCCACAATCCCTAGCATTCTCCCAACTAGTCATGCTGAGAGTTGCAGGTCATTTTTCTGCCTAAATATGCATAGGATTGCACCTTCAATTTCTTATTTATCTTCCCCACTTTTTTCTGCAAGAACCCATCTATCTGTCTTGAGTAACCCTTGCATATATATTAAAATGCACAGTATTTTTGCATTTTATTTGCTATTTGTAATCATCTCAAGGCTACCAAATTTTACATGCCTATATCCTTTGTTGTGAACTTGTCATCTTTATTTTAGAAATGATTTAAATCAATTCCAAGTGTAACATTTGAATTTGGTCTTCCTTCTTCAGTTGTAGTCATAGAACAGGAAGCAATCCTGATCTAAAAGTTTTTATAGCAGGCTGTCACCTGACTGGTTTGGACCTTCAAATCTTAGGGAGACTAACAGGAAGCAAGTACTGAGGTCATGTCATTGGTCCATTGAACCCAGTACTGCCAGCACTGACTGGCAGCAGCTCTAGGGTATCAGGCAGAATTCTTTCCCAACATCATCTGGAGATGCCTGGTGGAGCAGCTATGGCTTCTCCCCAGTGAAGCCTCTTGCGAACAGAGCCAAGTGATGGAAGAGCAACCTATTCCCAGCTCGGCATCCCTCGCATCCTACTGCAGGCTGAAGTCCTTCCCTTTCCCCCAAATTACTGGCTTGCTCCAGTTTCTTTTCTTCAACAGCACAGAAATGCAATGCTTAGCAACAGTTCAGGGTTGAGAGGGGAGGATGGAAGAGCTGTCGAGAGAGCTTTAGTTGGCGGATGATACAGAAATGCAATATTCACCCAGTTGTCTGGAAAATATTTATCCACTATCTCTCTCAGTTTTGCCTGCTGCGTGTGAAGAATGGATGCATCGAAATAAAGCGTCATGTACAACATGGCCGCCTGGGTAGCGAGAGCCGTACTGCGGTGCTCTGGCAATGGATACGCAGAAACCTGCCACAGGAAGTAGGAACAAGGAGGAAACAAACATTGTGAAAGATGGCAGCCATCCTGCTAGGTTGGGCCTTAACATGCGTTCCTCCCCTCCCCTCAGTTGCCTGTCATGGCTCACCTGGTTATATATGTCATCTGACCTCAAGCGGCCAATTACCATGCTGATGAAGGTTGGGTTTATGGGTACCCTGCTGAAGTAACCCTCGGGGTAGTTTGGGGGCCTCTTTGCCCCAGGCTGGCTTGAATACCCAGTGCTCCGAAGCAGTTTACATATGTCATCCATATTGGAGTCAGCAGAGCGAGCAGCACTGTATGGTGAACAGAGAAGGAAATGCCAGAAGTCAGAACTTGCCAAAGAACAGGGAGAGAAGTGGATGCAAAATACATACAAATAGTTACAACAGGTGCATCGATGCAATCAAACATGAATTTGGTGTTTCTTGGTAACTAAAAATATGAGCCCCAAATAATTGCATCTAAATCGTGCCTTACTATGGTTTTCTTATAGTCCTACCCACTAGTGGAGGTCTACTAAGAAGGAACTGCTTGGATGGGCCATCCAGCATAACTGGGGGAATCCATCAGAAAGATCTTCTTAGCAATGGCACAGAAGCTCAAGATCCACCTCTCCACAGAGGTGTTTCTGGGTCACCCTCACTCCTCTGTCTTACCAATGCAAGTCATTACCTTCCTTTTTAAATGAGTTTTGTGTTTGTGTAATCCAGTTGCCCATCCCACCCCTGTATTAGGGCTATGCAATTGAGAATCAAGGGCCAGGATACCTGTATCTATAGTAGGAAACAAGCATTCTCTCTCGAACCTCCCCTTCAATTTTCTGATCGATCACGAGCAGCATGACTCCGTACAAATAAAGGGCTTCGCACTACAGCAAACAAAAGAAGAGCTTGTGTTTGTTCATGTTAACGGTGATGAAGAAGAGTGAAACAAGCTCACGCACATATTTAAGATATATATATATAGTTTAGAGGACATAGCATGGCTCAGAAAAAAACTTCTGAAGTTGGTTCTCTATCTTCTCACAGCTGAACTGCACCAACTGACTTTTCAAGGTTGGAAAACTGACCTCAGACAGGGGCAAATGGTACTCTCATTATGGCAAAGCTCTGATCTGAGATTATCTCTGTCCAGTGATAATCCCACAGGTGAAGCCCACATACTGCAGGTGGGAGAAGAGATAATTGGAGAGGCCGGATGGCATTTATCAAGATAGCCTCTTCCAGCCTCTTTTTGCCCTCTTCTAAGGCTCCCTTTGTTACAGTTGCTGAAAAGCCAGTCCAAACCAAATGAGGGCAATTGGAATATGGGGAAGCAAAGATTATTATTATTATTATTATTATTATTATTATTATTATTATAACATTTCTATGCCGCCCCTTGCCGAAACCTCGGGGCGGCTTACAACATGATAAAATACATTGAAATACAATAGTACATAATAAAATTACCATTAAATATAACAATACAAAAAATACATTGATTTACAAATACAAAATTAAAATTATCAGTATAAAATAAAAATATAGGAGGAGAAAGAGAAGGAAGAAGAAGTTGCCCAGGCCAGATCATATGTTTTAACAATTGAAATGATGTTTAAATAAAAAGGTCTTTACCTGGCGCCGAAAAACCAGTAACGACGGTGCCAGGCGGACCTCTTTGGGGAGTGAATTCCATAGGTTGGGCGCCACCGCAGAGAAAGCCCTCCTCCGGGTACTTACTCTCCTAATTTCTTTCATGGAGGGTTCCCGGAGAAGGGACTCTCCCGCAGATCTCAAAGGGCGGTCGGGCATATACGGACGTAAGCGCTCGTTCAGGTAGCCAGGACCCAAGCCGTTTAGGGCTTTGTAGGTCATAATCAACACCTTGAATTGGGTCCGGGCTTCAATGGGAAGCCAGTGAAGCTGATGGAGGACTGGAGTCATGTGAGCATAACGCCCCGTCCCCGTCAGCAACCTGGCAGCTCTATTTTGCACCAATTGAAGTGTTCGGACTGTCTTCAGGGGAAGCCCCACGTAAAGCGCGTTACAGAAGTCTAGGCGGGAAGTCACCAGCGCGTGTGTCACCGTCGCCAGGCAGTCGTATTCCAGGTAGGGGCGCAGCTGATTAATCAGCCGAAGCTGAAGGAAGGCGTTCCTCGCTACCGCTGTCACCTGAGCTTCCAAAGAAAGCTCACCTTTACTCCTGCACCAATCCTTCTGGTTTCAGCCCAGGGAAGAGGAGTCATGACTGGCTCTATGTTCAGGAGCTTCCAAGCAGTGAGGCACAGACTATAGGACCGCAAGCTTACAGGTGTGAAACAATTGGGTGCAGGTTTGCTAGGAAATATATCTACTGAAGCCAACAGAGCATTCCAGGGCTGTATACCTACGACTGTGGCCTAAGGCACTCTACTATTACACAGAAGCCCAAATGCTTACCAATAATTGTTTCCCATCTTCATTAAGCAGCACAGTTTCTAAGGTTTGTTGGATATAAATTCCTTCATTGAGATCATCCAGATATCTAGAAATAACAAAAATACATGCTTTAATCTTTTTAGGCAGAAGCACGATCCCTCATTCAGTCTGAAAGCCAAAGTGTGCTTTGGAGAAGCTCTAGGAAGCTGAAGGCAAAAAGATGGCGCCAAGTTCCCTAAATACAAGCATGTGTTAGCTTATTTTACAGGCAGTAAATACTATCTATCTATCTATCTATCTATCTATCTATCTATCTATCTATCTATCTATCTCTACTTCTATGCTGCCCCATAACCCGAACATTCTCTGGGCAGCTTACAAATGCTGAATAAGGCTCAATAAGCCTTAGCAGAGCATTTATCTTTTAGAATGGGAAAAAAAACTGCACAAAAGCTGGGCAGTCGCCAAACAACTGATAGTTGAGGAAAGGGAAGGGCTGGATTTCCCCCTTTAGTCATAGGTTTTGCTGCTCTTTAAGGAGTTAAGATTGGGGATATCCCCCTAACGGTTTTAACGACATTTTGATTTGAAAAAGGTAAGTTTGTTTGTTACACCAAATGCTGAATAGCTTGCTTGACAATGGTTATAAACAAATGGCTTGCCCTGAAACGAAAGAGGCAGGTCTCAACACTGGTAATGCCTTTTGGCAGGTTCCCTGTAAAGAAAGGTTTTTATAAACAGCCTCTGACTGTAAACTGTTTAGGAACAAACCAGTGGGATCCACAGCATAAAAAGACATGTTCTTGTGTGCAGCCAATTACGATCTTCCCTCCCCTCCC